AAAATATGCATTCTTTATGACTGAGCTCAGAAAGCTCTCAGAGCCTGTCAGCAATACTTTTTAAATACAATCAACAATAAGGACAAAGAGGCTGGGTAGAGTGGCACATGTTCTGCAATTTTAACCCTTGGGAAGCTGAGGCAGAGCGCAAGTTCCATGCCAGCCTACCCTACTTAACCAGTTCTAGATCAGCCTGTACTACCTGGTGAGACCAAAAATGATGTCAGGCTCAGACAGACAAGTGGTGCGTGTTTTCTCTTGTAGGTGGAAGCAAGATCTAAAATGCCAACATACATATACAGGGTTATATGTATGTACACACAAACCGAGTAAAGGACAATATACTTATGGGAGGAGTCCAATGGTGTTAACTCCTTTGAACAACTAGCAATTGTTTACAAAATGGTATCAGGAAGCTGAAGCACGTTGCAGCAAGGGAGGCGGGACAAAGCAATGGAGGAAGAGAGGGTGAGCGAGTGCGGCCACTGTATTCAAGGGGCAGTATCTAAAAATGAACCCAGAATCTGAAGGTAGGAATGGGAGGAGGACAGTGAGGGAGGATGGGGAAAGAAGTGATCGATACTCACTATACTCATAACCTCACTTCTGAAATTGAGACCCCTTGTTCACCTACTTAATAAAAATAAATTTTTGAGGGTTTTCCAGAAAAAAGTAAAAAAGTATTTTTAAGAAAATGATGATGGGGGGGGGGGGGGGGAAAGAAAATGATGATGATGGCCTATATCTAAGTCTTTAAGGGAGGACAGACTCCTTAGACAATTGCCACGAACACAGCTCGCTTAATCACATGTACACATTTCCAGCTTTTATTCTACCTTTAAATGGCAGAAAGAAGAATAAAGCTCAGTTCCTTCCCTAGTCTCTGTAGTTACTGAATAAATCTATTCCCATCACTTTAAGTGATGTTAGCTGTATTTATCTTTGACACCACCTGAAGCAGAAATGAAAAAGACAAGAAAAAGGAGGCAAGAAAACCACTTCCCTAAAACCACAAGTGGAATGAAGGGTTCCAGGTACTTGGTGTCTCTTAAGAATTGAGTGATGCACAAGTTATGTAAAGCAAGCATATTTATTAAAGGAAGAATAAGTCGAAAGTACATGCCACAATGCGGAGGAAGGCCTGAACAGAAGTTCCAAGGCACTGAGGAGTGTGTCTAGGAAACTGAAGGTAGGTTTGGGCTGAGGGGAGAGTCAGAGGGTCCCCTTCCCATAAGAAGGGCCTTGCTGGCGGACACAAAATCTTGGGTGACAGATTGTGGCCACAGAACAGCTTCTCAGCTGTGTGTCCATTCCCACGTGTTGTTACATTAATGATAACCTGGAACCTTACCTGGGGAGCTTCCCCAAGAGGTTGCCTAAGAACAGCCAAGCACTGCGTTATGCATGTTTCATTGTGTGTGTGTGTGTGTGTGTATGCAGGTCCTGGGGCTGGAGCTCAGGGATGGATCCTGTCTGTGAGCTTTTTGTCTTTTCTTTTCTTCTCTTTTTGGTTGGTTGTGGGGCTGTCCCTGAGCTTTTCTGTTCAAGGCTAGTGCTCTACCACTTGAGCCACAGCTCCACTTGAAGTTTTCTGGTGGTTATTTGGAGATAAAGAATCTCACAGACTTTTCTGTCCAGACTGGCTTCAAATCACGATCCTCTGATCTCAGATTTTTTTTTTTTTTAAACTCAAGGCTAGCACTCTACCCACAGCTCCACTTCTGGCTCTTTGGTGGTTAATTGAAGAGTCTCACAGGCTCTACTGCCCAGGCTGGTTTTGAAATGCAACCCTCAGAGCTCAGTTTCCTGAGTAGCTGGAATTACAAGCAGCAGCCAGCAGCGCCCAGCAATATGTATATGCCACTTAAGGAACTTTTTATTCAGGGAAGACCTTTTCCTTTATCAGAATATTTGGATGGCAAAATTATTCACCTAAAAAAGGGTGAAGGTGAATCCCTGCTTGTGCTTGAGCAACAGGTGCGAATCCTGGCTTTGGAATCAGGAATAGGTCCCATGTCATCTACTAGCTCTATCCTACTTTCCTGTCTTGTAGTCTGCACTCAAACCACATGCACAGCCGTAGCAGAAGACTGGCAGAAGTATGAACAGCCAAGTCCAGGGTAGCCATATGTAGCTACAACCGCCAAAAATCAAGCCAGACATACAACTAATGTCTCTGTGTCCAAAGATAGGACCGCAAGCTGGAAATCAAAACGGCTGCTGCAGTAGCCATTGGAAAGATAGATTTTGCGATAATAAGTCTGTCGGTGACTGGGCCTGACTTAGGATTATAGGTTTTAAGAAGCTGCATGCCAGCACCTACATGACCACTGTTGATTTGAAGCAGTGAGCCTTTAGTTTATAAGAGGATCTCTTAACCTTCCGGAGATTCCACATCTACCCCATTCCCATGATCAGGAGTTCTGGGTAGTCGAGCCACATACATGCACATTCAAGATTCTGGGTAATCGATTCCAGAGCTCGGCCCACACAGTCCTCACCCAGGAGGCTTCCAGGGTCTTCCAAGGCCTCTGGGCAATATTCTTCCATTTTAATTTGAGCCCTTGTGCATGTTGAACAACCCTCACACGTTCTCCTAATGCACCCGCACACCGGCGCAGTAAGACGTGAAGTCCCTAGGTACCACCTGGTAGCACTGCTGGGGGTTCATTTTTATTTTTTTGCTAAGTTTTTATTTTATTCCAAGGACTTTGCTCCATACAAAATGTCATTGTAGAAACAATATCAGAATCCAAAGTTCAGCTTGTAAATACTACTCAGGCAGCAAACTAGTTCAATCGCATAAATTTGTTTGTTTTTAAGTAAGGTCCAGTTGTGTTGCATGACTGGAATTCTCTTTCTTCCTCTCTCTCTCTCTCTCTCTCTCTCTCTCTCTAACACTGTTGTTAAATATAAAGTTTTGCAACAAACCTTCAATTTATATCAAATATAATTAAAAATTAACAAATGAATACATTGTATCAAAAGGTACGAAGATATACATTTCATGCACATACTTATATAATGTGTGTATATATATATATATGTATATATTTTACATGCACACATAACTGTTCAAACTACAGCCACTGCTTGACAGATTCCAGATGCAGACAGCTGGTTGATGCAATTCAAATTTGGCAACTCACTATGAGATTTCAGGGGAAACAGACAATAGTTTGAGAAGAGACAGTACAGAAACAAATCCAAAGTCAGGAAAACAAAGCATAATGTCTCCTCCCCCTCCCCCACAGCTACCACCACTGCAATTTTCACTTATGTCAATGCTGAGAAGAATCCAGACAAGCCAGCTACAGGTATTCTCAACCTGTGACGGCCTAAGCAGACAGCTATGGTTCTATATGGAATGTATGCATTTGACACCCAAGAGAACACGGGCCGGGGCAGGAAGAGAGACAAAACATTAAGATCAAAATGCACATCCTCCTACTTTGCAACATGGGCAGTCACATGCACAGTCTTAGGTTCCTTTAATTTTACCCTATTGGAATAAAATACTCTGTTAGCTTTAAAGTTTCAGAGTGTTGTGCCTTCACATAAGGAAATTCTATAAAAAGGTTTGGTCACAATCATGCTGAAACCCTAGACCAAGTGGTGGTCTTGTGTGTTTTGTGTCATTTGTTGCATAGCCCTATGGTTGACAAGATCCATTCACTAAACACACTTCCACATACACCCACATTCTATAAACACACACGTACACACGTACACACACACACACACACACACAGAGCTTTTGTGAGGAGCGTGGGGTAGAAGTCAACAATCCCACAGAGACATCATCTGAAATTTCAAAACACAGAGGACACACCAATGGACGTGTCTGCATGCGCCTTTCCTCCAGCAGGACTCCACCCTCTGGGCACACTGCACACCATCCTGAGAATGGGTCTTCCCTTTGGAGAGTGGTCATGAGGTGAGGTTTTATTTGCTGCCTACCCAGGCCTGGGAGCCAGAAACTGTGCCAGGCTCTAAGATGCCCAACTTCAGCCCAGAAGCCATTTCCCCTCTGCCAGTCACTAGGACTTTAGCTGGGGTTCCTTTTTTCCATGATCCACATCCCCAGCCGCTGTCTTTTACCCAACTAGCATTCTGCTCACTTCAGCATTTAGTGAAACTGAATTCACACACAACAGAGATCATGCCCATCCCTGAGAATCAGTAGAGAACAGACACAGGCACAGGCCTCGCTGCTCTGTGGCTTCCCCAGAGTCCCCACGCATGGGAGGACAGAGGGCGCAGCCACTTGCTTACAACCGTGCGGTGCTGCTGGATGCTAGCCAGCACTCACAGGCTGCAGCTCTCGACTAAGTTCACGAGGCCTCCACCCTCACAGATGCTCAGGAGCCAGAGGTCAGGCACTTTGTCAAGCAGCAGGAACTGGGATCAACAAGGGACCCACCTGGGGGGCGGTCCACACAGTAGTATCTCCCACAAGTCAAATGCAACGAAGAGACCTTCCTACAGGTTGATTCTGAAATTTTATGTGAACATTTCTTTCCCCGTTTTTCTTATTTTATCTTTTTCTAGATCAAGTATATAGAAACGACAAAGAGTGAAAGATGTTGTGATTAAAAACCAGAATCAAGCACAAGAACATTCTCCAGATTTGGTCCCTGTTGGAGCAGCAAGTGTTGGGAAAGACAGAGCCTCAAATGCATTGATTTCTATGTACATTTGCTGTTCGGTGCTAAGAGCAACCATGGACACGTGATCACTGTGATGCCTTCAGGCACCACCAGGCCACCGCTGGGCCCCCTTCCTTGCTTCCAGGCACACTCTGCTCTCTGTACTACACATCCGGATCAATGATGTGTCCCATGAGACTCAAACCACCAACTAAAACTTTGAAGCACCCAGCCCAGATGCTGGCGGCCATGATATGGGATATGAGCTCACTGGGTCTGTCTCAACTCAGCCACCACCTGCTTAGGATCTGATGGGTGGCATGAGACCCAGGAAGGCAGCACACAGGGGGATAGAGAGTCATATCCCTCTAAGAAAGGGTTTTATTAGTCCATCCAATGTAAAAGAAGAGGGAGGGAAGAGGAGAGGAGTGGAGCAGGAGCCTCCACCATGGAGGCCACGAGGCAAGATACCTCCTCCCAGGGCTGCAGCCCCAGAGCCCAGCATGGATGATAAAACTCATCAACTGGAGCCCATGCCCGCGGTGAGCACGTGTGTGGGCAGTCACGGTGCAGCTAGCACCAGTGGTCTTGGTCAGGGTGGTGGTAGCTGTGCCGTGCCCGGACACCAGCGCTGAGTCCCAAAGTGCAGTGGTAGCCATTGGGCACACGGCGGAGAGGGTGGGACTGGGAGGTCAGGGAGGACACGTAGGAAGTCCTCGAGGACCGGCCTGAGTTGGTAGCCACCGCCTCCTCGAAGGTGAGCGTGTCCTCAGGCAGAGTGTGGGCAGAGGCCTCGCTGTCCAGACGCTGGCCCAGGGAAGGGTCTGAGCTGATGCGAGAGCCAGGAGCCAAGGGCTGGCTCAGCGGCTCTCTCTGGAGCAAGGCGTTGTGTTCAGAAAGGCCGCGGCTGAGCCGGCCTGGGGAGAAGGCTGGGAGGCCACTCTGAGCCCCAGCAAAGTGGACCGGCGAGGAGTTGGCCGTCTTGTAGGTGATGCTGGGGCGAGGGGTCAGAGGGGTTTGCGGGAGCTGCCTCCGCCCACCTCGGCCCGGAGTGCTAGCACCAGATGTTGACAGTGAAGGGCTCCCATTAACTGGGCCACTGCCCTATGTGAAAGGGAACAGAAGATGAAACGGAAATAACACATCAAACCGAACACCACACAGAGCACACAGGACGCGGGGGGCATTCGTCCTAAGGGAGAAGCTGGGGGCTGAGAGGCAGGGCAATGGCTGGCACAGGGGCAAAGGAAAAAGCAGCTCAAAGGCCAGACGCCCAGTCAGGAAAGGAAATAAAAGAGTGTACAAGACCGTGGTGAGGCTTCAGGCAGCCATCTGGGGGACGTAGCAGCCAGGCAAGGAGGCTGTCTGGGCTGGGGCGCAAGGGGAAGTAGCTGCTTAGACCTCAGGCTGAAGGGGCGCGGGGAGGCCTGGAGGAAGAGAGCTGACTCGGGCAGGCACAGCCTGGTTACCTGTGGGGGGGGGCCTGTGCCCAGCCCTGCTGTTGGAGATGTGGGGTGGCTGCTGAGGGAGGGCTTGGGCTGTGGAGGCTCCCGACTCCCAAAGCGGTCGCAGGAGTAGAAACGCTGCTTTTCTGAAGAAGAAGATGAAGGCTGTCTGCGCTCCTGGGACCTGCCCCGCTCCTGCTTCCGCTCCCGCTCCCGCCGGCAGCCTGTAGGTCCTTCTCCTGCAGGCAGGCCTGGCCCGGCAGTGCTGTTTGGTGCTGGCCAGGGAAGAGAAGTCAGCTCAGCCACAGCCAGTGCAGGAAAGAGACCCCAGTTACAGACCCACCGGCTACAGACCCTCCCAGTTATAGACCCACTGGGTCCCTTGAGTACCAGGGAAGACTTCACAGTGCTGGAGGGACAGGGAGGAGGCAGCCTGGACCCCGGCCTAGGACCACTCTTTCTGCTCTGGGTAGGTTTGAGGGTCATGGGCTCATGAGCCAAGGAAGATGCCTAGATCCCCCACCACAGCCCTAACTCAAGGCATAACCCCTCAGGAAGCTCCCCAGGCCCTCCACACGCACCGCCCTCTATGTCCACAGAGAGGCTAGGCCCCTTTTCCAGGGACCTCTGTTTCTTGTCCCTGCGACGGTGGCAGCGGTGGTGGTGATGATGTGTTGCCTGGCTGGGGGGAGGACGGTCCAGGGCAGCATTGCAGAGGTGAGCCCCATGGGGGCGCTGGGCCAGTGTGGAGATGGAGCGCTTCATAGGGCTGGCATCAGGGGCAGGCTGTGGACAAAAGGAAAGGGCCAGAGTAGGCCTGAGGAACCATCAAGGAGTAGGGGAAGGCAATCATGAAGGTTCACAGAGCAGGGTAGGGCCATTTAAAGAAATCAGGTCTGGGCCACAAAGTCCCCAGCTGGGACATCGCCCCTGAGAAGGCCTGCTGGGGGCCGGCTGCTAACCCTGTGAGGAGGACCCCAGCCTGCCAGGAAGGGCTGCCTGCCTGCCTGGGGAAAGCCGGGGGGACCTACAACTTTCCAGAGAGCCTTGAGCTCTCTGAGGGGCTGAACCGTGATGCTGCCCTGTGACAGGTGTCTGTGGAGCTCAGTCACCTGCGTGTCGAGGAGGCATGTCACAGGAAGCTGCCCAGTCTGTGGCCACCAGCCTGCAGCACCAAGGCAGGCGCCACGGGGCAGAGGCCACAAGGCTGGAAGTAGGGAAAAAGCAAAAGACAAGAAGTAAGGACATCGAGGAGAGGTCAGGCATGGAAGGCCACAGCCATGAAAACAGGGATACTGCAAAGTAGGGAATAGAAGATAAGGAGGAGAATAAAGTGCATCCTAAATGTCCACAACCCGAAGGCATAACGAAGAAGTGGGCACAAAGCGGAGGGAAAATAAACAGGCTCCAGCAGGCCATGAGCTCCCAGGGCCAAGGCTGGCCTGCAGCACCTCTGTGGCACCAGAAGTGGGGAGGGGGCCCAGAGCACACCCAGTGACCTAGGGAAGGGGTTTATTCTCAAGTGCTTTTAGACCTCATTCTTAGTCAAACATATCTCAGAAGAAGAACAACTTCATGGGGTCCAGGGAAGGAAAGGAAGCCCAGAGACAGTGACCAGACAAGGAGGGTAATCCCACAGCCTCAAAGAGCAGAAAGTGGACTAAGGCATGGTTCACAGAGTCGAATCCTAGGGAAAGAAGTGACGGGGACCGCAGAGCTGTGGGGACACAGCTGAGGAACAACAGAGCTGGGAGACCAAAGAGCAAGGGAACGGCAGTGCCTGGCAACGCACGCTGGGAACACTAGAGTTGAATGGGCCAGAGCTAAGGGGTCATAGAACTAAAGAAAAGAAAGCAGAGCTGTGAATGAAGAACCTTGGGAATCAAGTCCCTGTGTGGATCTCCAGATGGCTGAGAACACAAATGCTCACCCATGTCCCAAGAGCCTGCAGAGGCAGACGGTGTCTAGGCTGCATTGGCTGCCCGCAGGGCCTCCGGCCAGGGAGTCTGCCCAGGGGGTGCCCACTTCTCCACGCTCCTGAGTCTCCTCACTCAGGATATACATGTCATGCTGCCAACCCCTTCCCCATGCCTTGAACCTTTTAAGCCTACCCACCTGAGTTTCTGCTGCCAGGCGGGGCATGGAAGCGGCTCGGCCTTGGCTCTCCAGCCCAGGTTGGGGCTCCCCATCAGGGCCCCTCAGCGCCATATTCTGCATCTGGACATCCACAGCCTAGAGGATAACAGCCTTCTAGTCACACCGCACAGAACCACCCAGCCTCACCCAGCCTCGGAACCCAACCCCTCCTGACACTCACTCCTCTAGGGAGGACTTACCAGTGCTCCTGCCTGACCCACAGGAATCTCTGCTGAGTGGCCACGCTCCAGGGGGGCCCTGGCCTCATAGAGCGTGTCCTGGGTCCTCTGAGTGCCCCAGGACAAGGACTCCTTGATGCCAGTCTCTTGGGTTTGTCTAGGAGAGAGAGGGATAGTCTACAAGGTCAGAGACCCAAGCTGCAGAATGCCCTACTGGGAATCTGTGCTGCCCACCCTATTATCAAGCACTGGAGTCCCAGTATGCATGACATATACTGGGCCCAAGCCGAGGCACATCAAAGGGCATGCTCCCAGTATGCATCCTGGGTGGGCACAACTCCAAAGGGAGAGAGCCCTCAAAGGGAAGGGCTGTCCTGTTGCTTCCTGGTCTGAGCACATCTGCCACATTCCTCAACCTTTCCAAGTTTCGTTTGTGAAATGGGTACTGGGATCAACCCTGTCACATAGGACTATGGTGAAAGGGAAAAGATCATGCAGTAAGCTTGGATGAATGGGCAATATCGCTGAGAAGACCCTGCTTTGCCAACATATAGGAGACACTGACTGTGGGGTCCTTCTGCATTTCTTTCCCAGAGCTTCCAGGAGGAGCTGCAGAATCCTTGTTACCACCCTGACCCACACTCTTCCCATATCTGCTCTGGTGTCAGGCCACACACACACTATCTTCCTGTCCCCTGGCTATGCCTATCGATGGTGATCAGTCTTGTCCCAAACATTACTGCCTCTGCCAGTTAGCTGATTCACAATGACTGCACCTGTATTTGCACAGGTTTAGTAGCACTGATCGTACATACTCAGCTTAGCATGAGGCCCATCAGCCTGAACAGTCCACACTTCTGACCATGGTGGTGTGTGCAGAGGTGGAAGGGCAGCCCCACCTCTGCTGGGCATTCTGAGAAGAATCAATCTTTGTCTTCCCAAACTGCTGCATGTATCCATGTATCTCCCTTTAATGTTCTGTGTGGGGAGGGCAAGGCTGGCACTAACAAGACAGCTGGGCTAGGCCCTGCAGTGTGGGCAGTCCTTCTAAGAGCAGGGAGATTCGACCTCCACTGTGACCAGGTGTTCTCTAACCTCTGATGGAGGAGTTAGGGCTTTTTACAGAAACTAAAATCAGAAATGTAACCAAACCCATTTGCCTCATGAAAGCCTGATTCAGCTGGGTGCCCGTGGCTCACACCTGTAATCTTAGCTACTCAGGAGGCTGAGATCTCAGGATCACGGTTCAAAGCCAGCCCAGGCAGGAAAGTCCGTGAAACTCTTATCTCCAATAGACTGCTCAGAAAACTGGAAGTGGCTCAGTGGCTCAAGTGGTAGAGCACTCGCCTTGAGCTGAAGAGCTGAGGGACAGAGCCTAGGCCCAGAGTTCAAGCCCATGACCAAAAAAAATAATAAAAAAATAAAAAGCCTGATTCAGATCAATAAAGAGACACCATACATTCTCTCCAACACAAACAAATACTAGCACAAAATTATGTCTTACATACACAAACCTCACAATCAAACACACATTCACTGGAATTGAGGGTGGTTTTGGGCTCTAAGAGACCAGCTTTAGCAGGGTTTCCCCAACTGGGAAAACTTTTGGGTTCTCCTTTGTATTGTCACTGCCCTCAACTTGAGCCTGGACCTGCTTATGCAATACTCCAGATGATAGGTGCTGCAGGAGCAGAGACCCAAACAGAGTCTGAGTCTTGGGTGTCTGCCATTTTGGGACCTTCATAAGGTGGTGATCCCCTGAAACAAACTGATAGGGAAAGGCCTTTCTATGTCCCATCCAGGAGCCACAGCTGTCAAGGAAAGCTGAAAGGGCCCTCCCTGTGTGGGGCCAACCCTACCCAGGACCTATCTACCACCCTCAGTGAGAAAGACGATCACTGTTTATATTTCTGGAGTTTGGGTGGCTCTTCGCCAAGCAATATTGTGCCACGAGTTAAGTAAAACAAAAGGACCTCACAAATTTGTCTAAGAAATGCAACAGCCTCAAGAATCAATACCAAAATGGGAAAATCTGGAGGAAAATGTCTCTGACAGAAGAGCGGACTGTAAACAAGCCTTGAGCAAAAATGGTGAGGGCTCAAGATGGGAACACCACCAGCTACTGACTGAACAAAGCTGAGAGAGGTGCACACAGTGGTGTGTCTCTGCTAGCTTACTCCCACCTACCCACTTGACATTATAGAAGATACTCTCCAAGTCCACCCACAATCCTCACCAGCTCCCAGGCATCACAGTGAGCATGGGGATAGCCCATAAGTGAGTTAGGTGCTGGCTCCATGTGGGGCCAGTCCCTGGCGCTGGATGGGACTGGGGGTCCTACCCTCAGAGGGCTCGACACCCTTCGGGTACCCCTGCGTTTTCGCTACAGGCCCAAAGGCAGTGAGAGCCGGCCAGGTTGTGAGCGTGGACATCTTATATCTACTGACTTTGGGTCCCTCCCCACTGACCACTGTACCCAGCACTCACATAGCACCACCATTGCTGAGGGAAGTGGCACTCTTCTGCCGAAGGAAAACCCGAGCTCCTCGGAGCACAGCCGGCTGTGCCTGCTCCAGGGTGGCCTTCAGAGGGTGGAACAGGGACACAGGGCCCATCTGCAACGGGATATACGGAGGGGAATAGTTCTAAGGTTGGGGGCCAGCCCCTGATAGACCCCAAGTATGCCCTTGGCACAGCACAAGTGACAGAGGCCAAAGTCTAGTGCAGAGCGGGGGGCCCTTGCCATTCCTGCAATACCATGTCTCCCCTAGAGTAGGCAGGGCGGGGCCCCTTACAATATCTCTTCTTTGGCTTCCTCATGACTTCATGAAAGCTTTCACCTTTCAGAGCCTCAGTTTCCCTACCTACACGATCAGGCTCGGATTGATCACAGGTGGTAAAGCATGACATTCATCTCAGCCTTAGCGCTGAGCTCCAGGTTGAGTAGGCTGGGACTCCAGGCTGTGGGAACTGCAGCTGACTGGGTCTTCCCAGGGATAGGGTGTAGAACACCACCAGGGTGTGGAATTGTCCACCAGGGATATGTAAACAGCCCTGCAAGTTCTGTGCATCTACAAATTTTCAAGACAGAGCTGCCATGTGGTCACTGAAGACACAGGTGAGATGGTGCCAGCCACGGGCAGTGTGACAAGGACATCAAGCTCTTGATGCCGGTCTCTTTGCTTTCTGCCTGTATGCAGGGACAACAGATTCTTCTCAGAGATTTCTCAACATATTCCTCCATCCCCCAAAGAAAGTGCAACATCTCCCAGAGTCTCTTCTACCCATGAAAATCAGCTCTCCAGTGCTCCCTGACATCATCAGGCAAGGAGCTGATAGAGAGTAGTCTGGATAGACCCGGGAAGGAGGTGGGTCTCCCACCCCTGCCCACCAAGACCACGTACCTGGGATAGGCCTCCGGGAGCTTGGTGAATCTGGTCTCTGGTGGTTTTGTTCTGTTTGTAGAAATCGAATATCATCAGAGCTGCGTAGACTTTCCCCACTGTCATCTCGTCAGCTAGAGAGGAGAGCAGGCGGAGAGGAGAGGGGAGGGGAGGGGAGGGGAGGGGAGGGAAGAAGAGGAAAGGAGAGGGGAGGGGAGGGGAGGGGGGGAGGAGAGGGGAGGGGGGAAGGTAGAGAGGACCCAGAGTACAGGAAAGGAGAGCAGGCAGAGAGGACCCAGAAGTACGGGAGAGGAGAGCAGGCAGAGAAGCCAGAGGAGAGGGTTAGAACAGAAAGACCCAGGGAAGCCCCAGAAGACGAGGGTGGGAAGGCACCTCCTCTCCCTCATCCCACACATGGACTCTTCCAAAGTGGCACTGCCTGTCTATGTGCCTGTCCAGCGTTAAGTATCTCTGAGGCCCCTGTGTGAGACTGATGTATGCCTAGGAGGGGCCCTGACTAGGGTTCCTACCTTACTTTCTCTACTAGGAGGACCCTACCATTTCCATGGTCCCACGGCCACCCAGGTCCCTGTCAAGGGTGTGGTAGAAGCCTCCCTCTGTAGACAAGGTGCTTACATACCACCTCCCCCTGACCTCCTCTCACCCCAGCAATAGAGAACATGGTAACAACTTACGCTTGTGGGGAGGTACCAGTAAGTCTAAGGTCTTCTGGGGTAGATGGGCCCACACAGAGGAGATCTCCTTCCTCAGCTCTGCATCACACTGGTGCTGCTGTGTCCCAGCTAGCCAGGATGAGAGGAAGGAAGACGACATTAGGAGCAATCCTGGAGCTCCTCATTCAGGCAGAGCTGGGGCAGGCAGGGGAGACACAAGTAGGAAGAACAGAGTGGAGCCAGTGCTGGGAGGAGAGTTCTGAGAGAAGGAACACCTGTGTGGAGGCTGGTCAGACCTCTTTCTGCAGAGTCAGCATGGAAAATATGCAGCTGACGTGTGTGTGTGCACGTGTGCAGGCTTGGCGTGGATGCACGTGTGCACCCCTGTGGGCACTGCGAGATGTGTGCTGTGGGTGGCAGGGCGTGCCACTGGGAATGTAGAAGTGACAAGGTAGCATTTCCATCAGTCACCCATGCCGTCAAGAGTGTTTACTGAGCACCCATAGATGTCAGGCACTGTTCTAGGTGACAGGATAAATACAACCTAAAAACTATCCTTCTACAGTTTTCACTACTACAGTAGCAAGAACTTAAAAAGAAATCCAGTAAGTTGGACAGTGAAAAGTGCTAAAGATGGGAAAAGCAAGTATAGAAGGGAGAGGAATCTTAAGAGGCTTCAGTTTGGGACAGGGCACCCAGACTCTCACAAGGAAAGGGACACACGTGCAAGGCAAAAGGGACCAGCAAGTGCAAAGGCCATGCAGGGGATGGTCCCTAGAGCCAGGAAAGCCATGTGCTGGGAGGAGGAAAAGGGTGCATACAGGACATTCCCAACCAGGAAGCCAATGAAGCAAAACAGCATGACTTAATATTCTTTGACACCAGGTTTATTAAGGCATAACTCACATACAGTAAAATACACCTATTTTATACCAGTCCACAACTTCCGGCAAACATACACATTCTCCTACGCTAGATGTGGGGCGTGTGCCTCGTTCCCATCCCCCTACCCCTGCCTGCTCCCAGCCAGGCAGTCACTGGCCTGCTTCCGTTTGTGCAGCTTTGTAACTTCCACAAAATTGCACCAACAGTGTCACACCACATATCAGCTTCAAGTCTGAATTCCCTCACTGCACATTTTGTGTTTGGGACTCATCCATGATGTTTTCATCAGCAGAGTTTTCATTTTATTTCTGAGTACTGATTCACCATATCAACCCAACAGTTTACCCATCAGTAGGTGATGGGCATGAGAACTATTTACAGTATGGAATGTAATAAATAAATAAAAGCACAAAGGTTTGCATGTAGGACTATACACACATACACTCTTTCTCTCTCTCTCTCTCTCTCTCTCTCTTTCTCTCTCTCATTTCCCAGATGGAAAGGCCGGTCCATATAAGCAACAGCAAACTGTTTGGCAAAGAAACTGTACCATTTGGTATTACCACAATGAACAGAGAAAGAATCCCAGTTGCCCTAGATTTTAGCATTTTGGTGAATGTCTGTAATCTCCGTCACCTGGGAGGCCACAGGTAAGAGGATCACTATCTGATACAAGCCCCAAGAGAACAAAACAAAAGACCATATCTGAAAAATAACTGAACCGGCTCAAATAGTTAAGTGCCTACCTAGCAAGCATAAGGCTCTGAGTTTATACCTTCGTAGGATAGAGGCAGACAGGGAAGGAGGGAAGGGGAGGGGGGAGGGAGGGAGAGAAGGAGGGAAGGAAGGAAGGAAGGAAGGAAAGAAGGGAGGGAGGGAGGGAAAGGAAGGGAAGGGAAGGGAAGGAAGGAAGGAAGGAAGGAAGGAAGGAAGGAAGGAAGGGAGGGAGGGAGGGAGGGAGGGAGGGAGGGAGGGAGGGAGGGAGGGAAGAAAAGGAAGGAAGGAAGGAAGGAAGGGAAGGGAAGGAAAGGAGGGAAGGAGGGAAGCAAGGCTACCTAAGCCAAAGTTTTAACATTTTCCTTTTGAGTTCTCTTCTAAAGGTTTTATAATTTTAAATTGTACCTTATGTTCATGATCCATTTCAAGTTAAGTTTCATAGAAGGTGAAAATATGTCCTATGGATTGAATTGTGGGAGCTATACTTGGTTGGCACAAAGTATTTATATGAATTGAACTATGTTCCCAGAAAATTGGTTTGCAGTACCCTTAACTGCAGTGTGACCAATTTAGGAGATAAGGCCTAGGAGATCATGAAGGTAGCTTAATCCATAAAACTAATACCTATGAGAAGACACCAGAGATCTCACTGCCCCCTCCCTCACCTGATGCTCTCAGAGGAAAGGCCATGAGGGGACACAGAAAGAAACAGCACCTACCAGCCACCAGAAGTTGTCTCAAACCAAAATCTACCTTGTCAGCATCTTGATCTTGGATTTCCCAGGTGGCAGCTTGAGTAGAATAAGTTTGAATCAAGATTTTTTTGTTGTTGTTTTCCTTTTGCATTTGGCTGTCTAAGTTTTCCAGTACAATTTGTTAGGAATGATTTTTTTCTCTATTAATTACCTTTTCTACTTTGTTGAAAATCAATTGACCATATGAGTGTGGTTATCTATTCTATTCTTTCATTCTGTATTTCTACCCTTTCAAATCCCAGCACCAGTAGCTTATTCCTGTAATCCTAGCTACTCAGAAGCCTGAGATTTAGGGATTGTAGTTCAAAGCCAGCCGGGGCAGAAAAATCTATGAGACCCTATTTCAAAACAACCAACAAAAGGAAGGGCTTGACATTAGAAATGACAAAATAATGGCATTTGCAGGGAAATGGATGGAGCTAGAAGGAATCATGTTGAGCGAGGTAAGCCAAGAACGAAGAGACAAACGGTACATGGTCTCCCTGATAAGTGGATGCTAAATCCAAAATGTTAGGTGATACGACAAAACTAACAGGACTTAAGAAACAAAGAACTCCCGCTCATCTGGTTGAACCACTACTAAATATCCCCATGCTGCTGATCACAAATATGGTATATAACATGTGAACACTGTTATATATTACAGACTGTGATAGACAATTTGCTCCAGGAAAGTCAGAATGAACTTGTGACTTTGAAATTATGTAATCACTTAATCACAATCAAAAAAAAAAAAAAAAGAACCTCGGGGAAGGGAGGGAGGGAGGGGATGGTAGGGAGAAAACAATGGAGGGGGTAACAATGTTCAAGAGGAAGTGTACTCATTACCTCACTCATGTAACTGTAACCCTCTGTATAGTATCTTTATAATAAAAAAAAAAAAAATAAGGAAGGGCTTGAGGTATGGCTCTAGTGATAGAGCACTAGCCCAGCATGCAGTGGAGTCAGTGCTAGACCCTAAGTTCAAACCTTACTAGTAATAACCAAACCAAAAAAAAAAAAAAAAGCCTTTTTAACTCAAGGAGAATGAGTTTTCCAGCTTTTTTCTTCTTTTTCAAAACCATTATTCAAGTTTGTTTGCATTTCTATATAACTTTTAGAATTGATCTGCAAACTACTACCAAAAAATCTGTTGAGATTTCCAATACTGGGATGACCGGTCCTCATGTTCGGGTAGGGACAATGAATATCTTGGCAACACTGAATCCTCCAGTCAATGAACGTAACAGAGCACTTGATTTACTGAGGCCTTCCGCAATTCCTCTTGATGTTTTCAAGTTCACACCATAAACCTTGGATGTGAGTTTTTTAGATACCTAACAATACTGGAATATTTTATGATTGTGCTGCTATCCTAATAGAACTTTCCTTTCAATTTCCATTGTTAGTTATTATTACACAAATGCAATTGCCTTTGTGCACTGACCTTGTATACTGTGACCTTGTTACACTTAGTAGTTTCAATACCTTTAAACTGTGACTGGAATTTTTGAGACGGGTAATCGGATCAATCAGGAAGAAAGATGCTTGCATTTCTTGTTCTTATTTCTTTTTTTCACCCTATTACAGGAGATAGGAACTGAGTAAAATGGTAACAGCCACCATATTTGCTTGTTCTTGTCCTCGGCAGAAAGGAGGCTGCTTTTCTTTGCCAATTATATTAACTATAGATGTTGTTTGGTTTTGTTGCTGGTAGCTGGGCTTTAACTCAGGGGCTCATGCTTGTATAGCTGGATTGAACAGCTGGCATTCTACCACGTGAGCTACACTATCAGCCCTGCATTTTGCTGGTTATTTTAAAGATGGAATCTTTTGGTCTTTTCTTCCCAGGCTGGCTTCAGATCTTCCAGGTCTCAGTCCCCTGAGTACCTAAGAGTACAGGCATGAGCCACCAGTGCATGGCCAACTAATTTGTTCATAGATACTCTTTATTATACCTATGAGACAATGTGACAGAGAACATTTACTTCCTAGTTACATAGGAAGTATTTTTTTTTTTTTTTGGACAGTTGGGCACTGGTGGCTCACACCTGTAATTCTAGATACTCAGGAGGCTAAGACCTGAGGATCACAGTTCAAAGCCAACCCGGGCAGGAAAGTCCATGAGACCCTTTGTTAGTGAAATGTGCTCCCTTCCAATAACTTAGTCCACTCCTTCCCTTCTCTACAGCTTAGCACGTTCCATTCGGCCCATGTAGTAAAGGTAGTAAATCATCAGCCTCCAGCCCCCTTTACCTTGGGATGGCACTTCTCTGGGGCAGCTACCACTATAGAAGGCAACAAGAGCCCCTTAGAGTGACCTTCAGGCCTGGGCAGCTACAGGACCCTTGTCTACTATTTGGGCAGCAGCCATAAATCCTAGTCTGCCATGATGAAGCCCCTGGCCCACACGTCCACACCAGGGTCTCCACCTCCTAGCCCCTTCTAGACCTCCTAGGTTATGTAGGTCACCCCAGACAATAGCAGGTGCTTCTTCTCATTCTTCCCTTGTGAGGAGTCTTGTCAGCCCCCTTTCCCAGTAATAAACCTTTCTTTGTTCTCTGTACCTGGATGTCTGCATGGTTTTCTGGCAAAGTCCAAATAATCTAACATCCTTATCTCCGATTAATCATCTGAAAACCAAAAGTGGCACTGTGGCTCAAAGTGATAGAGTACTAGCCTTGAGCAGAAGAGCTCAGAGACAGTGCCCAGGCCCTGAGTCAATCCCCCCCAAAAACTGACAACAACAACAGAAGATTTTTCTTTTCTGGGGGTGGGGTGGAGGAGCAACTGAATATGGTGCTCAGGCCCTTGGGCTTGCTAGTGAGCCCATTTTGCTTTAGTTATTTTTCACACAGAGTCTTGAACAGTTTTTGACCACCTTGAATGGTGACCTTCCTCTCTCTACCTCCCATCTAGCTGAAATTATAGGCATAAATAACAATGCCTAGTTTGTTTTTGAGATAGGGTATCACTAATTTTTTGCTGGAGCTGGCTTTAACACTGCAATACTCCCATCCCTTTTTCTCAAGTAGCTGGAATTACAGACATGAGCCACCATGACCAGCCCTAGAAATTTCTTAGCATAAATGTACGCTAGATTTTTTTTTTTTTTTGGTCGGTCATGGGCCTTGAACTCTGGGCCTGAGCGCTGTCCCTCAGCTCTTCAACTCAAGGCTAGTGCTCTACCACTTGAGCTACAGCACCACTTCCGGTTTTCTGGTGGTTTATTGGAGATAAGAGTTTCACGGACTTTCCTGCCCAGGCTGGCTTTGAACCACGATCCTGAGATCTCAGCCTCCTGAGTAGCTAGGATTACAGGTGTGAGCCACCTGTACCCGGCGAATGCTAGATTTTGTCAATGCTTTCTCTCTGTACCTGATGAGACATCATATCGTTCTACTGTTTTATATGATAAGCTATACTGATCTACAAACACTGAATCAGCCCTACAATTCTGGGATACATTCCAACAGTGCCATCCTGTGTTGACTTCTTTTATGTATAACTAGATTCAGCTACCTGAAATTGGGGTGAAGATTTTTGTGTCTATGTTCATGAGGCTGATTTGGTCTGAAGGTTTCTTTCTTTTCCTTCTTTCCTTCCCTCCCTCCTTCGCTCCCTTCCTTCCTTGCTTCTTTCCTTCTTTTGCTCAAAGCTACTGTTTTACCTCTTGAACCACAATTCCACTTCTGGCTTTTTGGTAATTTAGTGGAGATAAGAGTTTCACAGACTTTTTTGTTTTGTTTTTGTTTTGCCAGTCCTGACGCTTGACCTCAAGGCCTGAGAACTGTGCCGGAGCTTCTTTTTTTTTTTGCTCAAGACTAGCACTCTACCACTTGAGCCACAGGGTGGCTTTTTCTGTTTATGTGGTACTGAGGAAATGAACCCAGGTCTTCATGCATGTGAGGCAAGCACTCTACCACCAAGCCATATTCCTAGCCTTCAGGCTGGTTTTGAACTGTGACCCTCCAATCTAAACTTCCTGAGTAGCTAGGATTACAGGCATGAGCTACCAGCAGCCTTGAAGCTTTAGTTTCTTGTCAGATCTTTGTTTTTTGTATCGGTGTAAAGCTCATTTCAAGTAGGTTGGGAAATATTCTCTGATAATACTAAATGTTTTGTAGAATTCCATCCATCTAGACCTGGGATTTTCTTTCTGGAAGGCTTAGTTTATCTAATAGAGTTTATCTATATGGAGGGATATTGTGGCATCTATTCTCAAAACCTCTTTAAGAAATTCTTCCATTTCTTCTAAATTGTTGGACTTGCTTGTGTGGAATTTTTTAAGAAAAGAAACATAGTAATGCATTCGCATATTGATACAAGAAACCCAGCAGAGGGAAAATCAATAGGGCAAGAGAAAGGGTGGGAGCCGCAGGTGGCATCCGGAAAATGGTGAAACTGGGCTGGGAGTGCAAAGGGGAGCAGCCCACTCCTACACGGGGGCCAGTGGCCAAGCTTCAGGGGGCAGAGACGAGGGATGTGCTGGGACTTGGGGCCCCTCGGTAGCTCCTACTTTCTCTGGGTAGGAGAAGGCGGTGGAAACACGAGGGATGTGCTGGGACTCGGGGCCCCTTGGTAGCTCCTACTTTCTCTGGGTAGGAGAAGGCGGTGGAAACAGAAGGTATATATGGCCTAGGGGATCGTGGTGAGCTGAATTCTGGCTCCTCCACTAACTAGTTCTGAGTAACATGGGTGGAGTGACCCCACTTCATTGGGCTTGTCTCTTCACTAAAGAGAGAGTCATTATAATATTGATGGCCGTCAGCACTAAAGCCAGCAGAGGCCAGAGCAGGCACTTGGCACACCTGCCCTCCACACAAAGCCAGCCCCCCCGCCCCTCACCCTCCTCCAGGCACATCTGCCTGGGTCCACTCTCCTTTTGTTTTGTTTCCCATTGTTTTATCTTGAAACAGGGCCTGGCTCTGTGTGTGTGTGTGTGTGTGTTCAAGGTTGTGTGTGTGTGTGTGTGTGTGTGTGTGTGTGTGTGTGTTCAAGGTTGGCCTTGAGCTCACTCTGGACTGATTGGATAATCTCCCCCTCCTCCAGGCCACCCCCTTACCTGGGGCCAGTTTGATCTCCAGGGCAGTCCGGATGAGGGCCATCAACGTGGACGTGAAGTGCACCGTCATGTCCTCATTGGAGATGGGCATATTCATGCGGACCAGGCGCTGGGGACAAGTGGGAGGAGATCAGGGCCATGTACATGTGTCTCCCCGTACCCCAGGATTGCAGTGACTGGACTGGGCCTCCTGAGGGTAGTCCTTGCGAGTGCCAGGGCCAAGCAAGGCTGGGTGGATGGGAGTTTTGCCAGCATTCACTCTCCTCTAAGCCTACCTCATCTAAGCTGAGGATTCTCCTGGCTGCAGAAGAACAGAAATACAGGGCAAGGCCTGTCCAAGGCAGCAGCCTAGATCCCTCTGGAAGACCAGGAACATCCTCAGCCAAGGGACCTCTGTTTAATCAATGACTGTGGACAAAATAAGGGTATGTGGCCTTGCTAAGGTGGAGACTTCTGGGTTAGCCCACAGAAAAGAGGGAGGGACCCATCCTGTAACTCTGGTGACCTGACCTCCTCCACCTGCAGATGGGTGATCTGGACAAGGGATGGTGGCCAAGAAGGCTACTCTGAGTTCAAGCTCCAGTGGAAGATCCCTGAAGAGAGACATTCTAGCACAGTTCAGACCCTGTGAGATTGCACCCGTTCCCTCCCACCCCCCGCCGACCCAGCCAGGGGGCTGGGAAGACATGCTCATGCCACTTGACGGTGGAAACCATATCACCCAAAGCAGTAAGGAAAGCATTAGAGACAACCTCCTTTCATCCTTCCAGTAGGAAGGACCAGAACAGACAGAACGACTACACAGGCCTCCAGCTCCAACAGGAGCAGCATGGGCTGTTGGAGAGTACACTGGTACCATCTTCCATCAAACGGCCAATTTTTTCTCTTCAATTTTGGAGGACAGGACATCTAGAAACAGGTGTATATCTGCACCATGCATTCCAGACAAGAGCCAGCAGCTTCCCAGAGTTCCAGGGTCTGAGAAATTATGAGGCCTTGAGGAGGAAAAAGATCTCAGATGCATCTATGAGCACTTGGCTGTCCAAATGAAGCCCCAGAAGCACCATAACTCTCTGTCTTCTGCACAAGAAGAGAGAACCAGAAAAGGGAGTTCTGTCTTGGGCCTGGCATCCTGGCAGGATAGCCCTGGGCCATTTGTCTAAGAGGGCCACATACAAGCCTATGTCTTCAATGTGACATGGGCCTGAGGGGAGGAGAAGTACAGGAATGCTGAGAATGGGAGCCAGACTTTGTCCTCTGAATGCTGGCAAGGCCCCACTCGGCACACCCAGCCACAGGGCCAAGGCCTCACCCACCACCTGTGCTGCACCTCAGGAAAGGCCTGCTTTCCAGAGCATGAACTGCAGACCAGCACCGATGGCAGTGCAGAGGGGCTGGGAACTCCTCTCCTAGGGAAGGGACTTGGGATGGGAGTGACAGGGATCAAGCACATGTCTTCTAGGAGGGGGAGCTCCATCCAGGGCACTCGAGGCTGCACTTACCAACCTCTCACCTGGGCCGCCCAAGCCCTAAAGGGCTAGGAACTTCACAGAAACAGAGCAGTAAAGCCAAGGAAAACAGGCATCTCCTTGAGCATCTCCTTGGCCTTCCCCAGCTCCCCAGTCCAACCAGTCCCCAAGCTGAATCCTATCCAGAACTCAGGATCAGCCAGCATGGGAAGGACCTTACAGTCCTGCATGCATGTTCCAAGTGTCGTGTGGACAGAGCTCTCCCTCCAGGGGACATGGCCACAGCCTTGCATGCAGGGCCTTCAGCAGGCATAACAGACATGCAAGTCAGGGGCGGGGAAGGGCAGAAAACCCCAGAGGCATCTCTGTGCGGCTGGGAGAGCTGCTCTGCTCCCACAGACTATACTGAACCAGTAACATGAAGACCTAGAAGGGGGGAGGGTCACAGACAAAGCCCATATGGGCAGGGGGCACACAGTACACAAGAGGAAACTGGGAGAAAGCTCTCTCTGGCAAAGACAGTTGGCCCTGTTTTCTGGAGAGTAGTAGAGACCAGGACAGGCCAAGGTGTGTGTGTGTGGGGGGGGGGGGGGGGGGGCTGGATGTAAGGACTGCAGGTGGTGCTGCAGGGGAGCAGGCTTAGGGCTGGGCCCTATAACCTGCCACGCCTCCAGCAGGGGTGCCTGGAGGTGTTCCTAAGTTTACCCACTTCCTTAAAGCTCAGCCACCTGTGACTCCTAGTACCCTAAGCCATTCCCCTCCTGAAGGGGCCTCTGTCACCCTAGAAGTGACATGAAGTATCTCCCTGATACCTCCTCTTTCTCATTGCAAATGTCTCCTTCCCACCATGGAGCCCAGGAAGTCCTTAGAGACTACGGCCAAGCCAAGCCCCTCTGTGCTGCCTGTGCTTGGGGAAGAGCAGGGGGAGGAGCAGCACAGGGGTCCAGGCCTCCCTGCAGGGCAGGGCCGGGCGCTGAGGACCTGAAACTCTACCCCATGCCAGGGCCTAAGGGTACAGAATAAAATAACCTCTATCAAAAAAATTAGTAAATAAACCACCTGGTTCTGTCCCCTCATTCCTAGGAAGAAAGGGAAGGAGAAAGGGCAAGGGGGAGGGTCGTGCTCTAGCTCCATCTTCCTGAGCCTCGGAGGGGCATCAGCAGTGGGGAGCACTAGACAAGGCCCCAGGGCCCAGGGCAGACATGTTCCTCTGCCTGGGATGGGAGCAGGAGGCAAGGTGGAGAAGACAGCGGCAGCCAGGCAGCCAGGTACAGACAAGCAGCTGAGCGCCCACAAGCACCCTGTGAGCTTTGCACGGCCCAGGAGGGCACTGCAGACTGCAGACTGCAGACAGCTCCTGGATGGGGAGCAGGGACGGTGCAGGGACAGGGTCTACCTTGTATGCAACTCGAGCCGGGCATTTCTTCCCCAGCCCCAGAGGTGGAGACATGTGTTTCAGCATCTCAAACATGTCATTGTAACTGATGCGCCCACTGGAAGCCCATCCCAGAGGCAGGCACAGAGGGGTGGTCCACAGGAGAGGCCCACGGCAGGAGGGGCAGAGCAGGGAGCGGGCAGGGGAGGAAGCAGACAAGAAAACAGATCCAGTTAACCAAAGTGTCGGTTAAATGCCCAAAATTGAAACTGGTAAGATGAGGGACGCTCTGCTTGACTTGACCCCTGCTTGCCCCCACCCCCATCCTCACCTCCTCACTCCAGCCCCACGCGGGACAGCGGGCAGGGGTGACGTCTGAGCTAATGAACATGGAGGGGTGAGGAAGGGCTGCATCGGAGCGGCTTTGGGTTATATTTTTACTGCTTTTACTCTTTTAGAGCCACAGATAAGGCCAAATCAGACCAGAACTGTTCCACCGTGTAAGAAGCTCTGGCCAAGTTCTGTGGAGATGGGGCTTCTGCTGAGAACCAAGGCAGCATCATCATCTGTCTTAATGGTCAGATTTGATTCCAAGTAAGGCAAAGGCTAAAGTGGAGGAAAATGTACAACAGACAAGAAAACTAAAGAGGGAGCCCAGAGGCTATAGAGCTGAACTTGACCATAGGGCAAGTCCTGCTCCAAGCCCAGAGACGCCCGAGGCCAGCCCAGGGCAGGGCTGCTGCTGGGGTCAGGGCTGGATGGGAAGGAGACTGCAGGGAGGGGAGGAGCTGGGTGGGTATGGCCTGGTGCCACTCTCACGCCTCTGATAGGACCGGTTGGGGCCCAATAGGTGGGAGATGCCTCCTGTGGGACCTGGGACCCAGGGAAGTCTCTGGGGCCAGTGAGTGTTTCCCAAGCAGAGCAGCTGCACTACCCCAGTGTACCTTCCTATGGGCTTCGGTCTCAGAGACATAGCAAGTTCAGGCCCAGCCTTTCCCTGGCAGGCAGACCTGCCCAGACTGTGCCCTCAGCACATAGTTCCAGACCAGGGGCAACTCTGCTGGGCTGAGCAGTTCAATCCAGAGCTGAAACAGGGGGCCCCTCTTTTCTTAGTCCACTCTGCCTCTACTTTCTCCTTTCCCAGGGATTCAGAAACCTTCTCTGACCCAGAAGGGCAGCCACTCCTGGTTTATTTGTGCACATGTGCCCCTCCTTGGGGCCTTCACCTCTGACCTGCTGACCATCAGCCCACCCACCAGAGCCTGCAGGAAAGCTGAGTGCAGCCACTGTTCTCTTGGTGCAGGCTGGACCTGGCCTCCAGCACCCACCCAGTCAACTGGTGCTGGCTGATACAGCCAGGCCAGAAAGCTCCCTGTGCACTGTCCCAAAGGCTGCCTTCCCCCAGCCAGCTACAAGGGTCCGGGGAGATTAGACAGGGAACCAAAGCATCCAGGAGGCCGGAATGCGGGGCATGGCAGGGCAGAGGAGAGGTGAGGTGTTGTCATTCCCAAACCAGGCAGGGAGTGTGTGCAGTGTTTGCGATTCGGGCAAGGAAGTATGTCAGATGGAGGCTCTGAAGTTGCAAACCTTGTAGGCCAACCTACGAGGGCAGTTCTTCCCTAAGCCAACGGGTGGCGCAATACAACGCAACAAACTGTACATATCCTTATAATGAATCCGGCAACTGGAAAGGAAATGTTACAGGTTATGGCAACAAGGCACGGTGGAACCCATCCCACTCCCCGCCCAGCCTGCGATGGGAAGATGTGCCTTGAGCAGCCATGGTAGTGGAGGTGAGGGGTGCAGCTATACAGGTTGCTCTCTGCTGGTTATAGGGATCTATCTGGTGCTTCCCAGAAAGCATGGCAGCTCCAAGGTAGACAGAAGACATTCTGTCACACAGAACACACATCTGCACCCATGGGTCCCACGCCGGGCAAGATGGCATATCTGGGCTGGCCCATGCTCATTCTCTTCAGCCCCTTCTCTCGCCCCTTCAGTGCCAGAAGCCCCTCTCCATGACACTTCCTCCAACTCTGACTTCTTCACGCCCTAATATAGCCTGTTCATTTCCATCACAACCACCTCAGAGGTATACATCTATGTGTGTCTGTGCGCCTCCCTAGACACAGCAGACTCCCACCCTAGAACACATTCTTTTTAGCTAAGGACATACTCCTCCCAGAGCGAGCACCCTTGAGGGTACCTCTGATTCTTCTCCCTCCAATGCTGCTCCCTCCTCAGTCCAATCAGATCCAAATCATGTTAAATTCACTCACTGTACCTGCCAACATTGTTGAACCCTGGGGACCTTCCTAAAGGGGCTGGGTACATGAAGCCCTTGAACCTCATGACTACCCTGCCCAACAAATTCATTAAATGCCAACAGAAGAAAAGCATGGGCAGGCTATCATAACTCTCTGATTCAACCTCCTACTGTCAAACACAATCAAAGCTATGTGCTTAACCCAAATTTCAGGGCCTTTCTCAGTCTCTCCTAGCCTTATTTTAGCCAACTTTGTAACAGAGTCACTCCAGCTAACAACCAGCCTAGCTTTCCCCTCACTTCAGGACTTACTATTCCCAGCATTCTTTAGCACTCACCCCATTTTGCCTCCTTGAGTGTATGCCAGATGTCAAGCCATCTGTCCTTCAGAAATGTCCCCAGACTCAAGTGACAGCCACTCTACCATCCCCTTTCAAAGCAAGTGCTCAGAGAACATGCCTGTGCCTGCTTCACTCCTGACCATGGCCCCAGCACACAGCAGCTGCTCAGGAAATGCTTATGGGACATATGAAGAGATGTGATTGTGATCCTCCTTTTGAGTTTCTGCGCACACTTTACCATAAAAAGTGCATTTGACAGCAACAAAAGGAAGGCTGGGGAAAGGCTCCCAAACATCCACAGATTCATATCTTCCTAGCTTCCCATAGTACACACAGCCTTGCACATGTACACCCAATGCACATATGACATGTACACACACTGGCATGTGTATAAACATATACATAGAACTCACACATGCACACAGCACACACACACGTAAGCATGCATAAACAGGCAGTTCCCTCATATGCATATACATGCACACACATAGTAATTTGCATAAAATGTACATGTGTGTAGTGCGCATGCATCTAGAGTGTGGTCCCACTCTCATGTATGCACATACAGCATGGACACATGCACAGCTTACGCAAGGCTCAACACAGATGTACCCACACATATGCACATGCACTTGTGTGTCTGTGCACATATGCATAGCCACGTATGTGTACATAGATTAGAATGTGTTCCCACTCTGCACATCCAGTATTTATACATGCACAGTATACACAAGGCTCAACACAGATGTACCCACACATATGCACATGCATACAGGTGTCTGTGCACATATGCAGACACATGTGTGCACATGTACCATGTACATATGCACAATATACACACCAGCTATCAACACAGATGTACACACACATATACACATGCATTTGTGTGTCTGTGTGGGTGCCCATGCATGTAGAGTGTGTTCCCACTCTGATGTATGCACATGTACCATGTACATATGCACAATATACACACGGGCTCTCAACACAGATGTACCCACACATATACACATGCATTCGTGTGTCTGTGTGGGTGCCCATGCATGTAGAGTGTGCTCCCACTCTGATGTATGCACATACAGCATGTACTCATGCACAGCATACACACAGGTTCTCAACATAGATGTACCCATGCATATACACATGCACACGTGTGTTTGTGTACATATGCACAGACATGTGGGCACACATACATAGACACAAATGTTGGGGAGTTTGACAAAGTTTTTTATGGTTGTGAAGTTCTCCCCCACCCCCCAGAATGAGATATCCAAGTCACTTGGTAAATAGACTACAGACCTGTATCTTCATGCAAACTACTATCAGACTTGAGGGGGCATCTGCTCTGCCCATGTCCCATCTAGGACATGGGACCCAGATCCAAAGTGTACTAGCACTGCTAGGCCTTCATCTCCTTAGGCAGTCAAAGGGGAGCTAGCCTCAACCTCACCGCTCACAGGAACAGACGTGTGCAGCTGTTGTTCACAGGTCTATCAGCATTGCTAGCTCATTAGTCTTTTGTGGCCTTGGCATGTGCTACTCAGGCAAGTCTTCTGGTCTTCAGTGAATTCAACAAGCACTTTTTCTATATCCTGACATCCTGTATCTCTCAAGGTCCCTGGATTCTAAAACCTGGAACTGGAAAACCATCTTAGACCTCACTACACAGAAAGCCACTTGCTGCACACCATATTTCTGTTCTTACTCATAACTGGCTGTAAGACCTAGATATGCAGTTCATAAAAATTCAAGTGAATACGGATTCCTCTTACTGGCCTTTAAAACAACCATGTCCTTTAAAGTATCTGTTTCTACAACATTTTAAGTGTTCCTGAAACACAGCAACTCCTCAGGCCACAGCCTCAGGATGACTCTCGCAGTGCCTCCAAACCATGCCTCGGTGTCAGCACCACCCTCAGAGCGCTCCTGACTCATGCCTCAGGTGGAGTGGCTCCCACCCCTGCCTGGTCTTCTTAACCACAGACACAGGGAAATACCTTTGAGCCTGTGCATTCCAGTGGAGTCTTGGGCATTTCAAGGCAAAGATGGGGATGCAACAGACATTGTAAGGGTCTCTTAGGATTTAAAAAAAATGCCCCTAGGCCAAGCAAGGAAACTGAGTCAGGAATTTAACCCCTTACTGGGAACTCAGGAATGTAACCTCTTACTGGGAACTGAGGAATGCAATAACCTGCCACTGGGAACTGAGGAATGTAATACATTGTAAAAGTCCTGCTTCAAAAAGGTTGATGTTATCATATTACTGTAACTTTGCAGCTTGCACCTGCTTGCAGTTTTTGCCTTCATAAGCCTAGCTTGTGTGGATACTCGGGGTCACAGTGTTAGCTCCTGAGTCTACACTATGTCCCTGGCCAGTCAGCTTCTGCAACATCTTAATACACTTCTTCAAACTCTAAGCCCGCATTGGTGGACTCATTCTCAGACTCTCCAACAACATAACAGCACTTTTGAGAGCTGTAAAAAAATGGTCACATATGCTAGGAAACATAAATAACTGCTATGTTTCTTCTGTACTAGAGGGTGGGGAGAGAGAACTAAATTTTTCATTAAAACATAAAATGCAAGCCAGGTGCTGGTGGCTCATACCTACTCAGGAGGCTGTGATCTGTGGACCACAGTTCAAAGCCAGCCAAGACAGGAAAGTCCTTATCTCCAATTAACCACACACACACACAACCAGAAGTAGATCTGTGGCCCAAGTGGTAGAATGCAAGCCTTAGTGCTCAGGCTCTGAGTTCAAGCCACAGGACAAGCATACCAATATTCATATAGTCTCTGTCTATCTCTGTCTTTCTCTGCCTCTCTGTCTCCCTCTCTCTCTTTCTCTCTCTCCCTGTCTCTCAATACATATCAGAAGGAGATTTTAGGGGCCTAGTGGGCCTGGACAAGAAAGGCCTGTGTCCTGTGTCTAGGGTCTGGGTCCCTACTACCAGGCAGTGGGACTTACCCAAGCTGACAGCTTCCTTACCATGGTGGAAAAGATATGCCAGGGAAGCTGAGGGAGAGTGACTCACAGTCCAGCAGAAATAGTGAGGAAGCCTAGCCAGCCTCTCCACCAGAAGCCTGACCACACCCTCCTGTCTCTCTGACCACACCCCCCACCAAGAGCCTGATACTATCCAGCCTGAGGACATTCTCTAAGTCCCACAACAAAACGTAGGGTGCAGAGCCATGCAAGAGAGACATAGGCAGGCGAGAGCTGCACTCAGCTGAAAAATCCCCTCCCCCAACTAGGGCATGGGAAGTGGGCATCCATGACAAGTGTTCATTCGCAGCAGTTTCTATGCACTTGTGGTGAGGGACAAACATTCCTATGTCTTACGTAGCAGCCAGGTCCCTCACCACCTCCACCTCCGACATCCAGCTTGCAGGGAGCTGTCCTCAATAACTAATGATTGAGTGAATGAGTGACTGAGCAAGTGAATGAAGAACATACAGGAATGCGTAAGAGAATGGCTGACAGAATGATCAACTGAATGTGCAGTGGATGCAGTGCTGAGTAATGAACAGGTGGAGGGTGGAGAGCTCCTGCTGCTCTGCTTGCCTGCCTTCGGGCATGTGAGCTCAGCCCTGGGTGTACATAGCACTTGGAAGTCTGAGCAGTCTAAACAACTTCACCTTCTGACCCCAAACCTCTCTATGGAAAGGAATCATCTCACTTATGTTACACAGTAACTCTTTCCCGCCTTAATTAATGGGTCTTAGGATCCTGTAGTTCCTCTGGTTTCAATAAAAGCTTATTGAGTGCCCACCATGTGCAGCTAGGGCTGGCAACAGAGGCACACATTGGCTTCTGTCCCCCATGGCAGAGAAAGAAGAGAATGTTTCTTCTTAAAGCCTCCAAGTGTCACAGGGGTGTGCAGCCAGCCATGCTGCCTCCACACACTGCCTCACCAGCCTCTACATCCCTCACAGGACAGGCTTCAAGAAAGGCAGGACACTCCGTGTACTAGCCTCACAGACCCCTGGAAACCTTCCTGGCCAGAGGCAAAGGTACCCTTCTGAGGGCCATACAGAGTCTCAAAGACCACGTATCTGCCTTAGAGCTGCATCAAGCACAGGGACCAAAAAGGAAAGTACCACTTGAAGGGAATTTAATGGTCAGCACCATCCAACAGAGAACAGGGTAGATTCTTGGATTCCAGACCGAAGCCTGAAGGGAATGTTCACAGGAAACATGTCAAAGCCCACCCAGCCCTGAACATCATGGGAAAGGATCTCTCTGAGGACCACATCCCCAAGGGCTCACTCACCACGCAGCTGGGTCGTACTCAGCCCAGACACGGATGAACTCGTCCAGGTGATGAGGCCCTAGGATGGAAGAGTCCCGCGTGAGGTACTCAAAATTGTCCATGATCACAGCCACAAAGAGGTTCAACATCTGCAGGACAGGAAGAAGAAGAGGTGACACAGAAACCTCAGCCTGTCCTCTTGCCCTGCGTACCCTCAGTGCCAAACACAGTGGAACTATCTGGACAGCAGAGGTCACTTGGCTTGGGCCAGCCCTGGACCACACCTGCTCCTCCCATTGACTTCTTTTACACTGGGGATCCCAGGGCCTCCTCATCCTCTCGGTTCCTGATCCAACATATGTAATCCCAACACTAGTTCTCTGAAGCCTCTGCCTTCTATTTCTACCACTCTTTCCTAGATCAGTCCCCCAAATCTCTTGACTATGACACATCTTGACATGCAGGTTAATCTGTCCTTAGCTTTATGACAACCATCATCCACCTCCTTAGGCTGGCCTTCCATGAGAGCAGTGATTTTGGAGTAAGAAGTTTAGCTACTGGCAGTGAATAGCTTGAGTTCTATTTTTCTATAAGCTGAATTCACATGACACATTTTAGAATGTACAATTCAGTAGCACTTAAGTGTGTTCACAGTATTATGTACCTATCTCTAGCTTCAAAATGGTTTTTAGACCCAGAAAATATCCTGTACCCATTAAGTAATCATTCTCTATTCCTCTCTTCCCTTATCTCCTAGCAACGATCAGATTATTCTTCAAATAGATGGATCTGTTTCTCCTAGATATTTCATATGAAAGGAATCACAAAATATGTGACCCTTTCTGTCTGGCTTCTTTCACTCAGTGTAGTGTTCGTGAGGGTCTCCCTAGGTTAGCATTTGCTCATTCATCATTTCATTTCATGGCTGAAGGCTTTCCAGTCCAGGCACGCACCACATGTCTCCATCCACTGATGGACATCTGTGTTCTCTATCCACTACGGAAGTCTGTAAACATTTATATAAAAGTTCCTTGTAAGTGCTTCTTTTCATTTCTCTTGATTACAGGCCTGGGAGTAGAACTGATAAATCACATGGTAATTTTATGCTTAAATTTTTGAGGAACTGCTAAATATTATCAGCAGCTGTATATATTTTTTTACAACCCCACCAGCAATAAACCTCAATTCCTATTTTCCTGCAAGTTTTCCAGACTTATTTTCTGTTCTTTTTTTTTATGTCTCACTGTGATTCAAAGCCAGCCTGAGCAGGAAACTCCATGAGACTCTTATCTCCAATAAACCACCAGAAAACTGGAAATGGTGCTGTGGCTCAAGTGGTAGAGCACTAGCGTTGAGCTGAAGAGCTCAGGACAGCATCTAGACCCAGAGTTCAAGACCCACAACCTACAAAAAAAAAAGTCCTTATCATGATGATAAAGTTTCCTTCTTTCTATAGTTTGCTATGTGTTATACATTATGATGCTAAGTTTCGTCAAATACATTTTCTCCATCTACTGAAATGAGCATGTGTTTTTCCCTCTCATTCTATTAATGTGGTATTTTATGTTGACTGACTTTTCTTAAATTACATCCCTGGGATATATTTCATTTGGTTATTGGGCATAACCCTTTTTTTTCTTTTTGGATGGTTGTTTACTAGGTATAATCCTTTTTTTTCGGTAGGTCGTGGGGCTTGAACTCTGGGCCTGGGCGCTGGCCCCTGTGAGTGGTTTATTGGAGATAAGAGTCTCACGGACTTTCCTGCTCGAGCTGGCTTTGAACCTCGATCCTCAGATCTCAGCCTCCTGATTAGCTAGGATACAGGCGTGAGACACCTGTGCCCGGCTGCATAATCCTTTTTATATGTTGTTAAAATTTGATTTTGCTACTCTTTTGTTGAGATAGTCACATCAATATTCATGTGGGATATTACTCTGCAGCCTGCATTTGTCATCTGTGGCTATGGTATAAGGATAATGCTGATTTCAAAGAATGTGCTATGAGTGTTCCCTTTTCTTCTATTTAAGTCCTATTTTTTAGACTGTGGTAAAATATGCATAACAAAACCTTACCATTTAAACCATTTTTAATGTAATAAGGGCTAGGAGCTTATTCACATTATTATCCCTCCATTAAGCTTAATCTCCAGAATTCTTTCAATCTTCCAAACTGAAATGTGTCCCCATTAAACACTAGTTCCCCATTCCCATCTCCCTAATCCCCTGAAAATCACCATTTCTATTTGCAATTTCCATAAAGCTGACTCCTTAAGGCACGTTATCTTAATGGAATTACACAGTTTATTTCCTTTGTGACTAGTTTATTTCGCTTAACATAATGCCTCCATTTAGAAGGATTTTCTTCCTCTTACAGACTGAAACATATTCTACCATAGACTGATGTCACATTTTGGTCAGTATTCTGTTGATGTGAGCTGCAGTTGCTTCTTCTGTTTTGCCATTATGAAAAATGCTGCAGTAAGCACGGTGACACACATACTCACTTGGTTCCTGCACCATCTTGTGTTGTCACCAGCAGAGCACAAGGCTTTCAATTTCTCCACAACATGGCCAACACTTGTTATTTTCTTTTTCCCATCTATCTTTCTCTTAAATGTATTTATATAATAGCAATATTAATAGATGTAAAGTAGCATCTGGTTGTGATTATTTTGTTTTGTTTTTTGGTCGGTCATGGGGCTTGAACTCTGGGCCTGGGCACTGTCACTTAGCTCTTCGGCTCAAGATGAGTGCTCTAACCACTTGAGCCACAGCACCACTTCCAGTTTTCTTGTGGTTTATTGGAGATAAGAGTCTCACAGACTTTCTTGCCCCAGCTGGCTTTGAACCTCAATCCTCAGATCTCAGCCTCCTGAACAGCTAGGATTACAGGCGTGAGCCACTGGCGCCTGGCTGGCTGTGATTTTGATCTACATTTCCCTAATTATGCTGAATATCTTTTTTATATACTTGTCTTTTTTGGGAGGGGGGGGTAGTTAAAGACCTTTGCTTATTTCTTAATTAGGTTGGGTGTTTTTTGTTGTTAATAGTTCTTCCTGTCTTGATATTAATTCCATATCTTGTATATCTTATATATGATTTGGCAATCTTTTTTTTTTATTTTTATGCCTGTCCTGGGCTTGAACTCAAGGGCCTGGGCATTGTCCCTGAGCTTTTTTTTTTTTTTTTTTGGTCCAGTCGTGGGGTCTGAACTCTGGGCCTGGGTGCTGTCCCTCAGCTCTTCAGCTCAAGGCTAGCGCTCTACCACCTGAGCCACAGCGCCACTTCTGGCTTTTTTCTTTTTGCTTATGTGGTGCTGAGGAATGGAACCCAGGGCCTCAGGCATGCAAGGCAAGCGCTCTACCACTGAGCCACCTTTCTAGCCTGTCCCTGAGTTTTTGTGTTCAAAGATAGCACTTTACTTGAGCCATACCTTCATTTCCAGCTTTTTTGTTGGTTTTGATTGGAAATAAGAGTTTTATGGGCTTTCCTGCCCAGGCTGGCTTTGAACCGTGATCCTTAGATCTCGGCCTCCTGAGTAGCCAGCAGTACAAGTGTGAGCCACCTGCACATGGCCTGATTTGGCAATCTTTTCTTTAATGTCTTCTCAACCTGTTGATAATGTCCTTTAATGTATAAAGTTCTTGTGGATTTTTTTTTTTTTTTTGTCGGTCATGGGGCTTGAATTCTGGGCCTAGGCACTGTCCCTCAGGTTTTAGTTCAAGGCGAGCACTTTACCACTTAAGCCACAGTGCCACTTCTGGTTTTCTGATGGTTTATTGGAGATAAGAGTCTCACGAACTTTCCTGCCCAGGCTAGCTTTGAACTGTGATCCTCAGATCTCAGCCTTCTGAGTAGCTAGGATCACAGGCATAAGCCCACCAGCGCCCTGCTTAGTTCTTGTCATTTTAGTGTCAATCTCAAGCTCCTTTGTTAAATAGTAGGTCAAAAACATCTATCCCATATATTTTCTTTCAAGAGTTTCATGTTTTACTTCTTCCATTTAAATATTTGACTAATTCTGAGTTTTGTTTTGTTGATTTTCTCTGTGTGTGTGTGTGTGTGTGTGTGTGTTCAAGCTAGTCCTGGGACTTGAACTCAGGGCCTGAGCACACTCTACCATTTGTGCCACAGCTCTACATCTGGCTTCTTGGTGGTTAATTGGAGGTAAGAGTCTCATGAGCTTTCCTGCCCGATGAGTTCAGCCTCCTGGGTAGCTACAATTATAGGTGGGAACCACTAGCACCCAGCTAATTTTTTTATATAGTACAAGGAAAGACTCAAACTTCACTCTTTTTCATATGAATAACCAGTCTTACCAATACCATTTGTTGAAAAGGCAACTCCTTCATTATTAAACAATCTTGACCATCTCTTTCTTTGGGGGTTTTTGATTGCTGAGTCAAATATTTATTATAGATCAACTCAGATTTTCTACTTGTTCTTGAGTGTGGTGTAATTCATGTCCTTCTAGCAATCTGTCAATTTCCAAGGCTTTGCTTTTGAACACAGGTTACCAAAAATATTTACCATCTCTATATCTCCATCTCTTTATTGTGATGATAATGATGCTACCGGGACTGCTACATAGCTCAATGTATTTTTAAAAAACTCTGCAGTGGCTAACTCAATAATCAATGGCAATCACCTCACTTCCAATTATTCTGTTCATATTCTATTTCAACCAAGAAAACCAAACTCCACCCTAATCTAGTCCTGCACCCATCCGCCACCCAAAAACATTCCATTTTTCCACTTCACCTGTCTGGCACACAAACCTTGACTCATGTTTCAGTGAATTAAACCCAGCCAACGGCACCTTAAAAGAGCACACAGTCTGCCCACTTTGCCTCTCCTGTGCTATATAGCCAACACACAAAGCCTTAAGTTAAACAACTCCTACTTCAGAGGCTCCAGCTGGGAATCCAGAACCTTCCAGGGCCTGTGAACAGGGCCCTCCCGAGCTAGCCATAAACAAGCCCTTCCAGTATCCAGGACACAGCTCCAAGGATAGGCTCACCATCACGCCTTCTCTTTTCACACCCTGTCCCAACATGAACCTCTAGGCACCTGTCCTCCAAAGTGGTCCCCGAGTAACATCTCCTGAAATCTAGAAGGGTGACATTAGTAGTCTTGAGCATTCATCACTATGTCCCACCCGAAACTGATCCCAAGACCAGTTGGGCTGCTACCACCAGACCTTCAGAAAGGAGGAACCTTTGGCCACAAAGGGTCACAGAACTGCCCCAGGCCCCAGTATAGCACAGACTCCCTCTGGGACTCTCCAGAACCAGGCCCTCACTCTGTCATTACCTTGATTCACTGTGATGTCCTTGGCTAAAGGAATCCATCCAAATTACTAGAAGCCCATAAGCTCATCTCATAACAATACTGCTCCCTGAAAGATGCTCAGGCTTTCCTTCTGTAACCAGAGCTGGTCCTACTAGATCCTTCATCTAGCCTAGCCCTACTACGTCATCTCAACATTCAGTCTCAGTGTTGGCGTGGCTGACATGTTAAGCTGAGTAGTTGGATGTTGAACACGGTATCCCTGGCCTTTGTCCACTCAATGCCAATAGCCCTGACGCTAGCCTTGACAGACAAAAATGTCCACATACTGCCACATACCCTCTGGAGGCAGGTTTGGCAGGTTTCCCTGTAGTGCTCCTCATTCCATAGACTCACTCAGGTCTGGGGATTCATCATTGCTAGACTATGTCATTGTCCCTGCGCTTCTATTCTATTCAGGCAAGCAGAAGCTTGCCAACAGCCATGCAGGTCAGGCCCTATGCTGGAAGGATTCACCTCCCCAGGGATGAGGGGAACCTATGTCCTTGCTATGATCACAGGCGAACCTACTCTGGGCTCCAGCAGGGTACATGGCTGGAGCCCAGAGGGGGTCCTCCAGCCCTACAGACACACCCCAACACAGAGAGCAACTCATCCACAACTCCAACCCAGAGGTCTGTGAAGCATCTCAACTGGCCTCTATCTCATGCCTGCAGCTCTCCATGTTTCTCATCTCAGGCTGAGAGCTTCAACCATCACACAAAAACTCTAAGGCATTGCTTGCTTTCTGGGAGGAGTGGGAGTACAAGAGGTTCTGGTGCTAGAGCATGAAATCAGAGCCTGGGCACTATCCATTAGCTTTTTTACTCAAGGCTGATGCCCTACCACTTGAGCCAGAGCTCCACCTCTGGCTTTTTGCTTGTTAACTAGAGATAAGAGTCTCACAGATTTTCCTGCCTGGGCTGGCTTTGAGTCTAAGTCCTCAGATCTCAACTACTTGAGTAGCTAGAATTATAAGCATGAGCCATTGGCACCCAGCTCATAGCTTGTTTTTGTTTTTTTGTTTTCTTGTTTTGGTTTGTGTGTATGTGTGTGTGTGTGTGTGTGTGTGTGTGTGCACGCGCATTTTTAATTTACGTGTGTGCGTGTGTACCTGAGCTCTTTTGCTTCAGGTTAATGCATTACGACTTGAAATATATCTCTACTGCTGGTTTTTTGGGTAGTTAATTGGAGATTAGAGTCCTCACCTGGGCTGGCTTCCAACCATAATTCTCAGATTTTGGCCTCCTGAGTAGTTAGGATTACAGGCATGATCCACTAGCATCCAGCTTATTTTTATTTTTGGTGATACTCAGGTATGAACTCAGGCCTCATGCTTGCTAGACAGATCCTTCCACTTAAGCCACACACTCCATTTTGGTTTGTTTTGTGTTTGTTTTGCTTTAGTTATTTTTTTCAGGTAGGGCCTCACATTTTTGCTTAGGTCCAGCCTTAGACAATGATATGCAAACCACCATTCCCACTCTTACAAGCCTTCAGCCTAGAATTATAATAACTATGGTGCCTAACCCTAGTGCTGTCTTTTCTGTTTTTCAATAAGGTCAGCTCTACCTTTAAAATACAGTCCATTAAAAAACAAAAATACAGTCCAGAGCTACTCAAGAAGCTGAAACTGAGGTAAGGGTGGTCTCCACCAATAGCTAGTCACGTGCTATGCATCTATCGTCTGAACTATTCAGGAGGCTGAGACTAGGAGAATCACAATTCAAGGATAGCCCGGAGTGTGCATGTGGAATTCATGAGACCCCCATCCTCAACTGACAGCTGAGTATGGTGGTTCATGTCTACCATCCCAGCTATGGGAGGAAGCATAAAGAGAAGTATCACTGTTGAGGCCTGTATCTCAAAAATAACCAGAATATGGCCTAGAATATGACCCAAGTAGTAGAGTACCTACCTACCAAGCACAAAGCCTTGCATTCAAACTCTAATACTTCAAATACAATCACAATGACACTCTCCTTCTCCAGACCAGTCTCACACTAATGGTACCTCTGCTCAATCTGTAACCTTTTCCTTACTCAAAAAGAAGCCTGAGGGGCTGGGAAGGTGGCTCAGTGGTAGGGTGCTGGCCTTGCATGCATGAGGCCCTGGGTTCAATTCCTCAGCACCACCTAAGCAGAAAAAGCCGGAAGTGGTGCTATGGCTCAAGTGGTAGAGCACTAGTCTTGAGCTGAAGAGCTGAGGGGCAGTGGTCAGACCCAGAGTTCAGGCCCCACGACCAGCAAAAAAAATAAAATAAAAAGCCTGAGTCACACAACAAATTGTCAGCAAGTGTTATTACATCCCTGCTCCAAGGTTCAAAGCTTCCACTGACCTGGGAAAAGACATAAACTCCTGAGATAGAGCTCACCTACCTCTATACCTTATTCCCACTAACCTCCAAAGTGTATGGCCTCAGGCTCAGTGCTGCGTCTTCTGTCACCACATCCTTAGGGGCTCAGTGGTGGTCTTTACTGTCCATTAACACATTCCTAGAAGCCAGATTCTGAGGTCATGGCCTTTAGAAGCCTAACTAAGCCTTTTGTGCAAGTTAAAGTAAGGCCAAGAAGAACTCATCCCCAAGTGGGTCCTTTCCAGGGTTAATGAGCCTATTGGTACCAGGACCAACAGAATCAACTTGTGCTACAGCATGGATCCAAGTCAGGAACTAACAGGAAATGTGAGGTTCTGAGATGAGCTAGCAAAATGCCATCACTTACCAGAAAGGAACAAAGGAAGATGAAGGACACGAAGTAAAAGTAGGCAAAGTCACTTCCACACTCACTGGCGTTGGCATATGGGTCGCAGGCCCGGTTGGCTAGACAAGACAGCATGATTTCGTGCCAGGCCTCCCCTGTGGCGCTTCTGAGAAGAAGAGCAAGAGCTGTGAGCACACAAAGGAAGGCACAGAGGGGAGTCTCCAGTAACACCTGGAACTCTGGCCAGGCCAGAATCGTGCCAGCTAAACACTAGGGAACACTACCTCTGCTGCCCTCTCTCTTCTGTGTTCCCACCTAGGTATCAGGTGGATTCATTCTTCAAAAGATGTACAAATTGGACACTAACGGATACAGCCCTAGGCTTGAAAGATAACTAGTTGAACTGGAGGCCAGCACCATGGTGATGCACCCACAAATCCCTGGCTCATGTCCCATCATCCTCCATCACAAACTGTGGCTCAGCTTCTCCAGACATTCAAGCCATACAGTCTGGCATCACCCTTGCCTGTACATCAACATCCTGTCCACAGCTCACATACCTTCAAGGCTGTAGCAGGCTCGCTCTCTCTGCCTTCCTGACCTGCTCTGACAGGGCCTCACTGACCTTCCCCCTCCTGACCTGCTCTGACAGGGCCTCACTGACCTTCCCCCTCCTGACCTGCTCTGACAGGGCCTCACTGACCTTCCTTCCCCCTCCTGACCTGCTCTGACAGGGCCTCACTGACCTTCCTTCCCCCTCCTGACCTGCTCTGACAGGGCCTCACTGACCTTCCTTCCCCCTCCTGACCTGCTCTGACAGGGCCTCACTGACCTTCCTTCCCCCTCCTGACCTGCTCTGACAGGGCCTCACTGACCTTCCCCCTCCTGACCTGCTCTGACAGGGCCTCACTAACAACTTCCATCTAGCTCCACCAAACAGAAGCCCAGCAGACCCAGGGAGTGCAGGTCAGTCTTGTCATTTCACTTCTCAAGTCCCTCTCATGGCTCCCCTCTTGTGGAGAGCTGCGGAAGCCGACCAAAGATGGCACGGCCGCATGGCACGGCCGCGACCAAAGATGGCGCTGGCTTCCGCCTTCCGCCTTCCCGATGGCGAGTGCTCTCTGTGAAAAACAACTCCTTATATGGCTATGACTTGGCTACTGGCTTGCTTCCGTGTTTGCGACCCTATTGGTATATGCCCCGTGGCACCTCGGGATTGGCCATCCAGGAGGCTTATAACCGGAGCGCGGGGGGCGGGGAGGAGGAGAAGCTAGCAGACAAGGTTCCTGAATAAACTGCTTTGAGAAGAATCCCGGGTCGTGTCTTCCTTGCTGGTCGAGGTGGTCTCGACACCCTCTCTTCAGAAAAGGCAAAATTTGCACACAAAGCCCTGGCTCCAGAGGTGTGAACTATGCTCTTTTCCGAACCTTACACCCTAGGCCCTCTCTCAGCCTAACTCTCCCACTAGCCTCTGGTCTTGAAACAGCTTGCAGACCCATCCTACCCTCTGCATCCGCCCTGGGACTTTATGCTCCTGTGTGGCCAGCCCACATGGGAACAGGGCCACTGCCTGCTGATGACATCAGGGTCGGGGGCTCCTTCAGGCCCCGGCCTGACTGATGCAGCACTCCCTGTGATGCAGACCTCAGGGCAACACCACATGTTTGCCCCAAATTTTTGTGGCATGAGGTGAAGCATTGCTAAATGAAGAAATAATATGAACCTAACAGCTGAAGTCCAGAGAAACAACACATTTTCAGAAAATGTATGTCTGAAAGTAACTGTTCTATGCAGAAACAAGAGTCGTGGCCACACTATGGCTTGAGCAGAATCATTTTCCCTGCCTAGCAAGTGCAAAGCTCTGAGTTCAAACCCAGTACCACACACACTCAAAATACAGAGTATACCAAACATAGGGCTGGAAGTGTAAGCGAAGTGGTAAGAGTGCCCACTCAGCACAAAGCCTTGAGTTCAAACTTCAGTATGAAAGGGAAAGAAAGGAAAGAAGGAACAGAGGAAGGAAGGATTGAAGTAAGAAAGATGTGCTCTATAGGCAGCTTGGCAAAGTGGGTCTGAGTCCCCATTTACCCCCCTCCCAGGTAACTCCATAAGCCTGAGGTGGTCTACAGGCAAGGTGTGGAGGGGTGGGGTACCTAGGGCTGGCCTTGCAAGAGCCTGATGCCCTTTCTAAAGGAATAAATATGGAACTTCAAAGCATGGTCCATGAATCAGACTACATTGTGAATCTCTATTTTCCTCTGTTCTAGGATCATGAGTGGGGGCTGGGAAGGTGGCTCAGTGGTAGAGCGCTTGCCTTGCATGCCTGAGGCCCTGGGTTCGATTCCTCAACACCACATAAGTAAAAAGAAAAAAGCTGGAAGTGGCGCTGTGGCTCAAGTTGTAGAGTGCTAGCCTTGAGCTGAAGAGTTGAGGGACAGCACCAAGGCCCAGAGTTCATGCCCCATGACCGGACTCCCCCCCAAAAAATAAAAAAGAAAGAAATAGGATCAGGGGTGGAAAAATAAAGACTAAGCTGGGCATTGGTAGCTCACACCTGTAATCCTAGCTACACAGGAAATGAGGATCCTGGTTTGAAGCCAGCCTATGCAGAAAAGCCCATGAGACTCTTATCTCTAATTAGCCACCAAAAACCCAGAAGTCAAGCTGTGGCTCAAGTGGAAGAGTGCTAGCCTTAAGCTTAAAAAAAAAAAAAAAAAGCTCAGGGATAGTGGCCAGGCCCTGAATGCAAGCCCCAAGACCAGCCCAAAAACAAAGAGAAAGAAAGCAAGAAAGCAGGGCTGGGAAAGTGGCTCAGTGGTAGAGTGCTTGCCTTGCATGCATGAGGTCCTGAGTTTGATTCCTCAGCACTACATTAGCAGAAAAAGCCAGAAGTGGCACTGTAGCTCAAGTGGTAGAGCACTCATCTTGAGCTGAAGAGCTGAGGGACAGCGCCCAGGCCCAGAGTTCAGGCCCCACAACCACAAAAGAAAAAAGGAAGGAAGGAAAGAAAGAAAGAACAGGGAGGAAGGGAAAGGAGGGAGGGAGGGAAAGAAGGAGGGTGGGAGGAAGGGAAGGAAGGAAGGAAAGAAGGAAGGAAGGAAGGAAGGAAGACAAAGGAGACAGGGAAATACAAACATTCCTCCCTCTTGCCCCCACATTCACTCCCAGACCAGAAAGGTGGATGTCCAGTGTACAGTGCATGACCATGCCCAGGGATGGAAGCTAGTGCTGAGCTTTCTCCTGAGTGTACCTCTGCAGGGGGGCAGGGTTCTGAAGGCCCCACAGCTTGCTGGGGACTTGCCCTTGCCCTTACATTGTACCTGTTGTCCTGCTGGCTGTATCCTGGAACCTGGGGATGACAGAGGGCAGAGTGTGGAGGCACACTGAGATCACTAGTTTCAGCCAGTTGAGTTCTTCAGGACATGGAGTAGCCACAAGCTCTGCCAACAGCAGTTGCCACTGCTATCTGGCTTTTCCCTCACCCAACAATCCCAGTGAGAACATGGAAAGCTTGAGGCCACCACATTAAAAGAGAACCTACCAGGGGCTGGGAAGGTGGCTCAGTGGTAGAGCGCTTGCCTTGCATGCCTGAGGCCCTGGGTTTGATTCCTCAGCACCACATAAGCAAAAAGAAAAAAGCCGGAAGTGGCGCTGTGGCTCAAGTGGTAGAGCGCTAGCCTTGAGCTGAAGAGCTGAGGGACAGCGCCCAGGCCCAGAGTTCAGGCCCCACGACCAGACCGCCCCCCCCCCCCCAAAAAAAAGAGAACCTGCCAGGCCTCCTCCTATCCTCCCAGACTGCAGCCTTCCTGGACACATTTTGACTGTCACCAGGAAGCATAAATAATGAAATGGAGGCCAGCCTGACCCAGGGAACCTAGGTTCTTTCCCTTAGAGGCTTCTTTTCTGTCTGTTCTGGGGCCAGAGAAGACATCAAGAGTACTTTGGAAAGGATGAGCAGAGAAGGGAAGAAACAGAGGGGAAATCGAGGGGAACCATCATGATCTGGAGACTGGAAGGGAGCGGCCCCTACCAATGGCATCCACCATCCTCCATCCTAACAGTGGACGGCCTGTGTTGACATACCTGAACAACAGCATCAAAGCTTGTAGGAACGTCCGGAAGTTGTTGTGCCGGTTGATGCTGGTGTCATCGTCAAGGGCAATGTTCCCAAAGACCTGAGATGAAGAACAGTAGAGTGTGGACACTGCTGGCCCTAAGCTATGGTTAGCAGACTACAGGCAGGCAAGACAGGGTGCAGGTGGCAATGTGGGGAACCCCACAAAGGACAAGCGTTGACAGGAGCCAATGTGGTTTTCAGCTCAGGCAACCTCTACTAGCAGAACACACCTATATCCTACTGCCTGGTACATGGAGCTCCAGCTCTGAGCTGCTCACAGACCCCAGTGTGAGCGACCAGGCCAAATGAGCCAAGCACTATCCTCTGTGTGACAGGAAGCATTCAAGTCACTCTTATCAACAACTCCAAAGCAGTCATTACCTTGGCAACAGTTTTGATATATCACAACCTCTGTGCAAATAACACAGTGGGCTTTCTATCCATTCTAAATTATTTCCTTCAGTGTAAGAAATGCAAATGAATCAAGAGCCATACTTGGCCTAAAGTCTTGAATCAAGCTGAAAATTTGTAATCTATCACATTCCCACAATGTTATACATACTCTTGTTTATCAACTGACCAAAGCAATATTATATATGTGTGTGTATGTATGTGTTGTTATGGTTTTAAATAACATCTCAAAAATGTTTGAATCTGCCAGGTGTTGGTGGCTCACACCTGTAGTCCTAGCTACTCAGGAGACTGAGATCTGAGGATCACAGTACAAAGCCAGCCCACACAGGAAACTCCATGAGACTCTTATCTCCAATAAATCACTCAGAAAACCAGAAGTGGTGCTGTGGCTCAAGTGGTAGAGAGCTCGCTTTGAGCTGAAGAGTTGAGGGATAGTGCCCAGGCCCAGAGTTCAAGCCCCACGACCGACAAAAATAAAATAAAAATGTTTAAATCAAGAGAACTTTTCTGTCAGCAATAAAAGTATTAGGAAACAACTAAACATTAAAACCTGGTACCTTTCACCACAAACTAAAACATAGTACCTCTCGTACTGCCACTGTCGGGAAGTAGCCAAGGTTTATTGGTTCTTTATATCTTTTAAGTAACTTTCCCAAAAGTTGACACAATATTCTTTACCAAAATCAAGAAAATGTAAGCAATAATGAGTGCAGTGGCCTGATGGACCCTGCCTGTACTCTCAGGCAGGGCTTCAAGGGCATATGACCTCCTAGAGAGACAGGGAGGGCTGCCCTGCAGAGTGGCTTCAGGCCAAGAAAATGGTCTAATATTAGGCCACTTGACACCATGCATCAATGCCCCAATGCCTAACCCAACATGTGCCTCAGCCCCTAAGAACAGTGCAGTACAGCTTAATGGAGAGGTGGGGAAGCCTGAGGGCGGGACTTCAGAAGCCCCATTTTGTGGGATGTCTATGTCCTCCTCTAGAGAGAAGTATTGCTGAGGATTAAGTTCACTCAACGCTTACACCAGGATCTGGCTCACAGCCAACATTCGATATATCAACTTACTGTGATCATTTAATGACTGCGCCAGACCCTTACGCCCCAGTGCATAAGAGCCCCATATTCAACCCCATCTGGGAAGACGGCACCCACCTGCATGCCGATGATGGCGTAGATGAAGAACAGCATGGCAATGAGAAGACACACGTAGGGCAGCGCCTGCAGATACACAGGCACATCAGCTCCCGAGCATCTGCAGCCACACAGACCTCAGCCCAGCCCAGCCCACCCCACTGAGCCCTCAACCAAGTGACTGGCTGTGCTTCTCCATCTATGAATTGGGGCCATAAAACTTACCTCAGAGTTTCTGTGGGCATTAACAAGACAATCTACGCAACACCCAAAACATCTTTATAAACTATAATAGGACAAGTGCCAACCACTTACACAACCTGCCCCCACTCAGCCAACCAGAGGAGGGGCCACTTGGCAGGGGCCAGAGGAGCCTGGTGAAAGAAACAAAGCAGAAGCCACCAGGTGTAGATGCTAATGCACCCACCCACCTTGAAGGACTGAACGAAGGTCCACAGCAAAATGCGGATGGTATAGCCCTGCCGGAGCAACTTGATGAGTCGTGCAGCTCTGAAGAGGCGAAGGAAGCTCAGGTTGATGAAGTTATTCTGCAAAGAAGGGAGATTGTTCTCTGACCTCCAAAAGTGCAAGCAAGCTGCTTCTACCCCCACACAACCCCTCCCCAAGTCTCTGTGAACCCCCAAAGAAAAGTGGTTAAGAATAGTCATTGTTTCATAGTGTAAGCAACAAGTGGCCACCAGAAAACCTTCCAAAAGAAAAGCTTGTCATTGCAAGTTATTTTTCATGCAACAAATCAGAGAAAATTCCTCTACTTTAGGACTACCATCACTCCCAACATGTGAGAGACAAAGTCTTTTCGAAGCAGCTCCCTGCTGCCAGGTGGTCCCAGGAGATGACCTATAAGCCTCCACTTCTTATAGGACAAGTACAAGCTCTCCAGGTGCTGGGCATGAGGACTTCCTCTCCTATAGGACCCCTGCCTGGGTCTAGGGAAGCCCCTGCCTGGGACCCTGGCTGGCCTTCTCTGAGGCTGTTCCAGGTCCTATCTGCCATTCACAGAAGGGACAGGTATGGTTGTCCTGCTATTCTTAGTACAGAAACCACCGGTCCAGCCCACAGTCCATAGGTCTCTGCTCTAGAGAACTCAGGATGCCTACTGATGCTCTCTCAATCCAAGGACTTAAAACCAAGCGCAAAGGTGAAGTGATAAATCTAAGGCTCCATAGTTTACCTGAAAGTGAGGCTTCCCCAGGCTCCAGGTACCTTGAATTATTAGGAAGCCCTTCTCAGGGGATCTGGATCTAAGAACATGTCCAGGCATAGGTGGCTGTATTTGTGAAACCCGGTGCTTTCTGACTCTGCACGCAGTCTGAGAACAGCTTCCTACCATTTTTCATTTTCAAATATGCAAGAATCTCAGGCTTAAACACGTTTGTGTTGTCAGATTCACTCACCAAATGAAGAAAGAGCACACAGATGTAGGGTGAGAGCAGGGCAGGAAAGCGCGTGCGTGCACAGAGGCCCGGGGACCTGGGAAGGCATCTCAAGGCCACGTGACTTAGCTGGGTGAGGCATTTAGTGGAGGCTGGGTGTCACTCCTAACCTCCAAGGACAGTGACCCAACTAATACGTTAAGGGTCACTGATGTTCTGTCCACAGCTTCCACTCTCAGGGACAGGTTTTGTGGTTCCTACCAGGGAAGCAGGATTTCTGTGATATCTTGCAGCGATTGATTCTCGGGCAGGGTGTTGGAACCCTGGAAGTGACCAATTTTGAACAATACTCAGAAAGGTCAATGGACACAGGGACCCAATCATGTCCAAATCAGCAAGGAGGCAGAAGTTTGCCTTAGGACAGGGCATGTGTATGGCTAATTCCTGCAGCTCTCTAACCTGATTGGGCCAACGAAGGATGTTGTCTGTGGTAAGACAGACCACTCTTGGCCCTGAGCACACATAGATGAGCCCACAAAACTAGGCATTGTGTATGGGGTACAATGTTGCGTCCGATGTAATGACAGAGTAAGGTGGGGAACAAGCGCCTTGCCCCCACTCTGAAACCACCTTGTTCCAGGGACTATTATAATATACACTTGTCCCACCTCCCAAAGCAGTCTGCACTCAGACAGCTGAAACGGGTAAGACTCCATGAAAATGGGGGGGGGGGGAATAAAGGCTCCCTGCTAAGAAAGAGGGGGTAGACAACCACTGGGTAGATGAAAAGGCATTATAAAGAACAGCAGCTCACTTCATGAGCAAATGCAAAACCCAGCCATGGTCCCCTCTGCTTTTGTTGAGGCCAGGCTCCCATGCCCCCTCCCAGGTTTCTTCTTCTGGGCTCAGTACAGTACTGGGGAGAGGGTGAGGGTGGCAATACACAGGCAGCCCTAGACTGTTGTGAAGACAGATGACAATAACATCCACAGATGCCCAAGCACAGGGGGACAGACCAGGTGCCACCATGCCAGTCACATGCAGGATGGCAGGGGACAGCAAGCACACAGCTGTACACCATGCACTGTCACCTCTGACCTCAGCCAGTATCTTGGACATGCCTGCCCAGTCTATCCAGGATCCATGGCTTCCGCTGCACAGGAAGTAGCTACATTGACTTCCAGTCTATCCTGTCCTTACTGGCATCTCACTGAGTCATAGGCAACCCGAATGTGAGGGTGGATGACCTCAAAGAGACAGTTGTCCCTAACCTTTGTATCATCAATTTCCTTGCCCACATCCTGAGAGACATCAAAAATACCTATGCTCAGGCGACGAAGGAATAACTGACTTAGAAGTATGCTGAGTGCTGTGCGACAACCCTTCACAAGTATAGATGCCCACCTGAGACCATGCTCCTAGTCCTCAGCCAACGCAAGTTTTCTCCTGAATGTACGTGGGCATTTAGCCTAGACCTATGGACATCTAGTAGTCATGTGCTATACCTGGGGATGAGGTCTTGAATTCCTAAACAAACTACTTTTTTTTTCTTTTTTGTCAGTCTCATGGGGCTTGAATCTGGGTCTGAGTGCTGTCCCTGAGCTCTTCAACTCAAGGTTAGCACTCTACCACTTGAGACACAGCACCACTTCTGGTTTTCTGGTGGTTAATTGGAGATAAGAGTCTTTCAGACTTTCCTGCCTTGGCTGGCTTTGAACCGCAATCCTCAAATCTCAGCCTCCTGAGTAGCTAGGATTATAGGCGTGAAGCACTGGTGCCTGGCAACAAACTGCTTTTTTGCTTTCATTCTAATGAGGCTGATGGATTAAGGAGAAAAAAATGTGTGTATACGAATATATCACTGCATCAAGTGATCATCTGTGTTATGAGATGGAGGACAAGGAACAGGTGAGCAGGAAGGGTTGCCTGGACTTAGTGAAGCTTATGCAGACAAAACATCCTGGGCATTTCGTCAGCGCTGATTATGGTCTTCTTGTCACTCTATCTAAACAACTATGTTTGACAAACATTTATCCTTTACAACAGGAATCCCAAATATCTGCTCCTGTAAATGAATTTCCATAGCCACAGATGAAGCTAAGTTTCTGGAAAACACCCTTCCTCTCCTCTCTAACTTCCTGAATACCTAGAAGATCTGCACCTTGTAGTGCACTGCATAGGAGCGCTGGATCAGTGATTCACAAATGGTATGGATGAAGAGTCCTGCCTTCTGATATACAGAGCACAGACCCCTCCTTCTACTCAAGCTCTGCCCAACAACCATGTAAATCACAGAATCCCAATCTCAAAACACTCCCCTAGACCTCACACTTGATCCACTTAAGACAGGGCTTGTGCAGGAAAGAAAGGTTCGACAGAGGTCTTTACCAGAGACTACCCGGGCAAAGATGGGTTTTCTCTGTGTTAGCAGGTTTACAGCAGAGGGAAAGAGACTGTGCAACAGAAACCACAGGCTCTCAGGAACCAAAACCAATCTCATCCTACAAAGCCTCTCAAGCTGGGCTCAGTCTGGGCAGGAAAATCTGCCCTGGGCATTGCTCATCACCCACATCAAGAACCCCACCTCCTATCTTGATAGGTCCCCAAATTCAAACAGCTCCTAGGTGCCCCTAAGAAGCCCTTGTTGGACCCTGGAAGCTGGGAAGAGAGCACAGAGGCCAGAAGTGAGTGCAACAGAATACAGCTCATATCAGAGGATAGTGGCAGGAGTCCCGGAAACAAAAAATGAGGATCAGAGCAGGCAGAGCAAGTAAGAACTGTTTAAAAGTCATGAAACCAACCGTTTCCTATATATGATGTTTTCATGGATGGGTATTGGCATATTATTTACAAATTGGGGTGGTTTGAGCAGCAGGTGCGCAACATACAGACGGAGACATGAGTTTTCGCAGTGTATGTTGGTTGAATGGCGTGAGTCAGCAGGTAAGTTAAGGTAAATCAAGAACAAAAACAGAAAACAAAAGAGAAAATGAGTCATCAACACAAGCAAAAACTCAAATTCTGAATACTTAGCTAAAAATTTTAAGGCATATATTTTCTTAAAATGCATCAATTCAGAGTTTATTTTTGAAATCCATAGGTTATGCAGACAGAGTGACATTCATTTGCATTCTTATTTGTAATGCAAATCCAAAGATGATTCACAAACACTTATTTTTTTTTTTTTTTATTTCTAGGCAAAGAAATCAATGTCAGTTTAAACACAGGTGGAGACCTTTCCCTAGGGACCCTTGCTACTAAGACCATTGCTCTATTTTGATTTTTAGGTTGGGGATGAGAACTGACACTCATATTTTTGCCTAAGAAAAAAAAGTGCATTAGCAAAGTAAACATATGAGGTGGCTCCAAATGAAAAACAAACAAACAACAACACCAACCCACACGATGACCTCCATCTTTTCTCTTCTAGGCAGATCATAATGGATGTCTTGTGGCTAACAGTTTAAATGCTCAGCTTTCAAACAGTCCTATTTCCCCCTACCCCTACTGTGCACCAAGGCTGAAGTGGCTGCCAGTGAGTACTTGCTTCAAGTCAGGCCCAAAGCCTTGCTTCAGTTTCAAGCTGCCCTGGCTAACCATGCAGAAGTGAAGGGGAAGAATGCCAGGTTGTTTTGGCTGCTGCCTCTGCCTGAAGCCCATCTCTACAGCCCTAACTGTACCCCTCCTCTTATGCCCTTAGCAGTCAGGAGTCTAAACCCCTCTCTTGGAAAAGAGACATACACATGCAAACATCCCACAAAGTTATATTTCTACTACAAATCTGGTGTTTGAGTCACTTTGTCTGGGAGAGTAAACATCCCTGTTTCCACAATGTGATCTGGCCTGCAATACGGACTAACATTTCTGGGAGAGCACTAACAACCTGGGAGAGATCACAATATCAGATGCTGATAGAACAAAACAGCCTTGGCTTCTCTGTCTAAATGGAAGAGTTCAGATTTTCTTCCTGTAATGCTCACATCATTAACACTGCACAACCAAAAAATAAGTAAGAAAAAAATAAGACAAATACCAGTATATTCATCACCCAGCTTAAAAAGCAGAGCATCATCATTACTTCTGAAGTCCTTCCAGTACCCTCCCTGGTCTCTGGATGTAGCAGACATCCTTAATTCTGGTCACTAATTCCTTGATCTTATATAGTTTTATCATAAACTTGTAAGACATGTTGTATGATTGTCTATTCTTAATCTTTGCAATAGTAGCTTGTCCAAAACCTCTTTTGACTTGATTCTGACAGTGAACACTATCTGAGAAGCATTCATACTAATGTGGATGTCAAATTTGTATTTGCACTGTTGTTTTCACTGTATTAATATACTGGTTGACACATTCTATTGCTAACAGATATCATTTAGTTATCACAGTGTTGCTTACCATGATGAATAAAACCTCCAGAAACATCCAAGTAAGATGCTGACTTGGAAGTATGAACATCAACTTCTCTAGCTACATCTCAACTTCTCTGGAGATGTTGTACCAGTCAAGATGCCCCCCAACTATGTGGCAACCCACATTTCTGTCAGTATTTGGAACTGTTAGACTGGCCTCATCCCAACAATATCTCTGGCTACAAATGCAGTAGAGCATCTTGTCCTATATAAATTGGCAGTGTATGCTTTCTATTCAGCAAAACATCCAATCTTCCCTTCTGCTCATTTGTTTTTTTTGGGGGGGGGGGGGGTTGTACTAGGGCAACAACTCAGGGCCTTGCATCCGTGCTCAGCTTTGTTGCTCATGGTCCACCTCCATCTGTTTTTTTTTGTTTTGTTTTGTTTTTTGCTGGTTAATTGGAGGTAAGAGTCTCTCGGACTATCCGGCTAGGGCTAGCTCCAAACTGAGATCCTCAGATCTCAGTCTTCTGAGTAGTTAGAATTAGACATGATCCACCAGTGCCCAACTTCATGTTGTGTTTTTATTGACTCACAGAAGAGATATGTATGTTCTAGACAATAACTTTGGCCAAACCCTCCCTGTCTCACTTTCTGCATGCTTTCATAGCCTCTTCAGCTATTTCCTGCGGTGTAGATAGAAAAGCCATGTCGAAACTTGCACTTGAGCACAATCCCACAAAAACGTTGCCTGAGGCCCTCAGCCCAAAAACATAGGTGCTAGCATACATGTACTCCAAGGACCTAGTCAGTCTGTGGGTTGACCCTTGATGCAGACCTTAACCCCACACAGTGCAGAAGTAAAAATCCCATAGCTGCCTTCCCTCAGCAGAGACATCTGAGGGAAACCTACCCTATCTCAAACGCACTTGGGGACAAGTCAAGTCCATACACATCCTGACTTGGCTCAAGATGTGGCATTTCTCATCCTCATCCTATCCCCAACTACTTCCCAGTTTTTCTTAAGAAACAGCTTCTTAATTTCAATGTCTGTTCCTAGAGATGAGATTTTTCTGCTATTTGTTTCCAAATTAACATGTTGCACTCAAGAAATGTTGCTTTATGATTCAAATTCTTGGAAGTCTGTTGAAATGAGTTTATGTCCTAGCACTGGTCAATTTTAGTTATAATCCAGGATAATGTGTTTGATAAGAATATCTCCAGATGAAGAGATACACACATGCTTTCATATGCCATATCCATACAATTTATTTTTAATTATTACTAGATTTTGTATATATTGTTGAAAACATACACATTAGACATTGGCTGTTACCATCAAGTTCCAGGTAATCCTAGAAGACCTTTCTCTCTAAGAAGGACATCGACCAACACAACACCTGACCCCAGATCCACCTCTGGAGAGGAGGCCGCCAACAGTCAGGGCCCAAGGACATGCTGATGGGAGGGCCCTTGAGAAGAGTCACTTTGGAGTGACCTAGCAGGACAGGAAACGTTACTTACCGCAATTTCTGTTACTAAAATATCAGTGATACTTCCCAACACGGTAACAAAGTCGAATACGTTCCAGGCATCTCTGAAGTAGTTCTACAGAAAAAGAGGGCAGTCAGTGCTGTGGACTGACAAGGTCTCAGCTAGGCAAGGAGCTGTGGGTGCTGGCTCCCAACAAGAAGGGGGAGAGGTAATAGATGCTCAATACAAGGCTAGTGACAACCAGGTGCCAGGGCCAAGCATTCAGATACCTCCACCTGGACAGATGAAAAACTGAGCCATGTGTCCAGAGAGGAGAGTTCTGGACCTGCCAACCAGGACTGAGGCTGGAGCAGGACTCAGGCAGCTGAGAGTGTCAAAGCAGCCTTCCCCTAGAGCCTCTTGGGGTTGTGTTGGGGGCCCGGGGGATTTCTGACTCCAAATTGTGAGGCCCCAACCTTTCCCAATAAAGGGGGACTCCAAATGAAGATCACCAAAAGGCACGGAGTTCGGTGAGGCACATACCAGCACCCCAAAGGCGATGATTTTCAGCACGCATTCCATAGAGAACATGGACGTGAACACGATGTTCAGGCATTTCAGCATCAGCTCATACTCATAAGGTGCGTCGTAGAACTGCCCGGGGAATAAGCACTGTTGTCCAAGGGCACAACACCCCAAACACCCTACCTGGGCCCACTATGGGTCCCTATGCACACAGAACACATGCAGAGCTCCACATTTGCCCATACCTAGGACATTTCTCTCTGCTCTTCCTTGAACCTGCTTTTCCCAGACCTTCTTATTGCCTCAGCCACAGACAAAAGAAGGCAGAGTATCCCACAGGCATTCTGTGCTGGCCAGGACAAAAGACTACTACAGCTTTGGAATGTGCCAGCAAGAAGGAGGATAGCTGTCTAGACCCAGCCTCAGAACTAGACCTACTCATCAGCAGGTGCCAGTCCCTCACCATGGTGGGACCCACATACCTTCATCATCAGCACTACTGTGTTGAGGGCTATCATTGCCATGATGAAGTACTCGAAAGGAGGCGAGACCACAAATGTCCATGTCTTATACTGGAACGACTGCTTGTTTTGGGGCATGTACCGTGTCAGGGGCTTGGCGCTGATGGCAAAGTCAATGCAAGCCCTCTGCATGGGGAGAAGGAGCACCATCAATTTAGGGTGGGCCAATCCCACAGTGCCCACTGTACCTGGTACCATCTAACTACCCTCTCTCAGGGAGCCAACGGTAGAAGGCAAAGAGGCAGCAGGACATCTTCTAAGTAGGCTCCACAGGGCAAATGTGGTCGCCATCTACAGAAGAAAAGAGTCTTTGCCTGTGCAGCCCATGAGCAATGCCTGTGCAGAAAGGAAGTTTACTGGTCCCGCCCACAGAGCCAATCCCAAGAGCCCACGGTACCTCTACCTACCTCATTCTTCTCTAGGCTGCACTCAGACATCACTTTGTCCCCCTGCTCCTGGAAGGTGATGATAATCAAGGCTACAAAGATGTTGACAAAGAAGAAGGGGAAGACAACGAAGTAGACCACGTAGAAGATGGACAGCTCCATGCGGAACCCAGGGCTTGGTCCTTGTTCCTCATAGGTGGCATCAACAGAATGTTTCAACACCCTGCCCAAGAGGAGAGCAAGCATTTAGAGAGCTTCCCAGGTAGCTCAGGGCCTGAACTGCAGGGCTATCATAGGGGTATGCTCTATGCCTGGGTCCCACCATGCTGAAGGAAGGAAGGCCCAGCTCAGGGCACCCTGCTCTGTCTGGCCTAACCAGCCACAACAAGCAGAAGAGACACTCACAAGGGCCACCCCTCTCCTGTGGACACCGTGAACAGTGTCAACAGGGCCCAGAGTACATTGTCATAGTGGAAGTCATATTTCTTCCATTGTCTTGGTTGGGCTTCCACTTCCTCTTTTTCATAATCCAAGTACTGACCCCTGAGAATGAGAACATTGGAGAAGACAAAGGTTAAAGATAAAAGAGTCCAAATACACTCATGTATCTTTGGGCAGTAGGTTTTTTAAAAGAGTACTAATACCATTCTATATGGAAAGAATAGGCTCTTTTTAACAGATGGTGCCAGCATAAGCAAATTTCTAGTCATTCTGGATACAGAAGAATAAACCTAGACTTCTCCTCCTTCCATATATAAATACAACCCAAAATGGACAAAAGACCTAAATATAGATGCTAAAACTGTTATAAAAGCCATTAAAAGGGATGGGAGGGGAAAACTGGGGGAGTGTGAGGGAAAGGGTGACATTGTCCAAAAAGAAATGTACTCCTTGCCTAACTTATGTAACTGTAACCCTTCTGTAAATCACCTTTATAATAACAATAAAAAATTATTCACCATAGCCAAGATATGGAATCAACCCAGAAGCCCCTCAGTGGAACAATGGGTCGAGGAAATGTGGTGCATATACACAATGGAATGCTATGCTTCAATCAGAAAGAATGATATTGCCCCATTTGTAAGGAAATGGAAAGACTTGGGGGGGAAATATATTAAGTGAAATAAGCCAGAGCCAAAGAAACATAGGTTGAATAGTTTCCCTCATCTTTAGTAGTTAAAATCTGTAAGTAAACATAACGGATAGTAAAAGACTTTAAAAAGTACACTTGGACATGATAAATTGAACAAGATAAACTAAACATTCACACAGTAAGACCAAAGGAGGATATTCTTAGGAGAGAATCACAAAGGCTCAATAACTATGTGCATATAATCATACCAAATGATGCTTATTGAAATGAACTCCAAGAAATGGAAATATTAGAGGGGTTTTTTTTTTTGCTTGTTTGTTTTTGTCAGTCGTGGGTTTTGAACTCTGGACCTGGGTGCTTCCCTGAGCTCTTCAGCTCAAGGCTAGTGCTCTACCACTTGAGCCACAGGGACACTTCTGGTTCTCTGGTGGTTAATTGGAGATAAGTGTCTCATGAATGTTCCTGCCCAGGCTGGCTTTGAACTGTGATCCTCAGATCTCAGCCTCATGAGTAGCTAGAATTACAGGTGGAGGCACTGGTGCCCGGCTAATATTAGGGGTTTTACATTTCAATTTTTGTGGGTTTTTTTCTGTTTTTCCCCTTTTGTAGCTGTTTTTTTATTTCTTTACCTTGTATTTAAGTTTATCCGATTTGGGGAGAGGAAGGGGAAGCACAGAAATGGTGTGACAAAGGGTAAACTAATTCAGCAATGTTTAAAATGAACTGTACAACTTATGGGAGAGGGAGATCAGGAGGGGAAAAAAACTGGGAGGGAAGAGGTGACACTGTTCAAGAAGAAGTGTACTCATTACCTGACTTAAGTTAACTGCAACCTCTCTGTACATTACCTTAACAATAATTTTTTTGGGGGAGGGGGTCCGGTCGTGGGTGGGGCCTGAACTCTGGACCTGGGCACTGTCCCTCAGCTCTTCAGCTCAAGGTTAGCGCTCTACCACTTGAGCCACAGCACCACTTCTGGCTTTTTTCCTTTTTCTTATGTGGTGCTGAGGAGTCGAACCCAGGGCCTCATGCATGCAAGGCAAGTGCTCTACCACTGAGCCACCTTCCCAGCCCAACAATAATTTTTTAATTGAAGAAAAACTAAAAAAGAAATGTACTCTTTACTCAACTTATGTAACTGTAACCTGCCTGCACATCACCTGCATAGTAACAATTTAAAATTTTTAAAGCCATTAAAAAACTATAAAAGAGGGAAGGGGTAGGTTGAAAGTGATGGGGGAGAATGTTAAAAGGAGCAACAATGATCAAGATGCCGTGTAGTGATAAAAGTGCTTTGTTAAATTTCAACTCATTTGCACAACTATTGAAAGATAACTTTAAAAAAAAAAAATAAAACCTCATGGGCAGAATCTTGATTGTCCACTTCCCTATAAGCATTCTGGTCACCTCTAGGTTCTTCTTATAGGTTTCTTGGCCTTCTCTAGCTTAACTTTTCAAATTTTTCCAAATTTTTGTCACAAATCAGTTCCAAAGTCTTCTGAACCACATTATTAGGTAATCAGAGCAATGACTCCGCCTCTCTGGTCCCATCTGTGACAAATGCTCAAGACAAGCAACTCAAAGGAGGAAAGACTCATTTGGCTCCTAGCTTCAGAGGCTTCAGTCCACCACGCAGGGAGGGCAGAGCAGAGCAGAGCACAGAAGCTCACCTCATGGTTCTCCGGAAGCAGAGAAAGACAGAATGCCTACACTAGTCAGCATTCCTTTGTAATACATCCCTTAGATCTCCAGCATAGTGGATGGTGCCATCCACATTCAAGGCAGGTCTTCCTGCCTTGAGAATTAATCCACTCTGGAAACCCCCTCACAGAAATACCCAGAGATGGTGCTTCTCATACAGTCAGAATTAACACTGCTGAGAGGTAAGTTAGATTAAAAAGGAATTTAAAAGACCACTTAACCAGGGATGGTGACACATATCCATTAATATCAGCACTTAGGAAGCTGCGGCAGGAGGATTTCAAGTTGGAGGCAAGCCTTGGTGGACTATATGAATACAAATGCCAGCCTGGGCCACACAGAAACACCTTTTTCTTAACAATAAAAAAACATAAAAGACATCACTGATTGAGCAAAAATGCACCCCACAAAAAAAGACATTTATCCTCAAATCAATGGGCAAAAATGTCAACTAACACATGAGAGAATTTCTTCAAATTAAGCAGAAAATCAGACAATCTATACAAGACAATGAGCCAAAGAACCTGAATAGACACTGCCCATCTTAATGGTCAGTCCAGCCAGAGAAGTGGCTCAACCTCACTGGCTATCACCCAGTACAAATCAGAGGCAGGGAACGTAAGAGCAGGCAAGAGTGCAGGCAGCGGACGCTCTCACCCATAATGGTGAGGAAGCACTTGATAAAAGTGCTTGGTAGCATCACTAAAGATGGACAAGGCATAGCCTGCGACACCCTCTTGGAGAAAACCTCCTAGAAATGTGCCCCTCAGACACTCACAGTAGCAATGTTCAGACCTGTGTGAGAACCATCCAAATGCCCACCCACCATTAAGCTATATGACACCCACACAACCAGAGACAATGGGAACTTCACTATGGGAAGGAACTGTCCACACAACCTTGCTCAGTGTGTACACAACCTAACCCTTCATTGCCTAGCTCCCTGCAGAGGGCACCTCTCCTGTCTTGAGTTTAAGTCCAAGCCCAAGAAGATCTGAGACACCCTGAGGACAAGTCCTCTGAACTGTCCAACCTAGACCTTTGTCTACAGTTTAGAGGGCTCCCTGCAATATCCTGAGCTCCTTGGGTGTCTGAAGGCATGAGAGGCCTAGCGGATTCCTTGGAGCCTAGGTACTCTTTGTGGAGGACATGCTACAGACCTTTGGCATAACTCTGGAGACAGGAGGCACATTCCCCTCTCTTCTGTAGCATGAGCACATCTGAACCAGGCTACCTAGCTTCACACGGTCCCCATACTGCAAGGGCATCTCCCAGCCCCCCCTGGTCCTGAGGGAACAGAAGTGTGTTTTGCATCCTGGAGCTGAATGCTGCCCACCCTGCCTCAGCTTACCTGCAGTCCCTCTCCAGCTCCTTAGATTCATCAGTGCAGTAGAAAAACTTCCCTTTGAAGAGCTGTACTGCAATGACGGCAAATATGAACATAAAAAGCATGTAGACAATGAGGATGTTGAGGACATTCTTCAGGGAATTCACCACACAGTCAAACACAGCCTGCAAAGGAGGAGGGGGCAGAGCTGTGAAGAAAGAGGAGCACCAGGGAAGGGTCATGAGGAATGACAGGGTACTATAAGGAGAGACACAATCACAACAGAGGAGAGGGAACAGAAGGAGGAGAGCTATCATGGCCAAATAGAGCCCTGAGGGAAGGAGGGAGCTGTGAAGAAATAGAGCCAAAGGGAGAAGCAGGGGTCAGGAAAGGGTATGGAGGGGATTGGAAGAGGGAACAGGGTAGGGCAACTACAGACTTAGAACCTCAGAACCAATGAGACCCAGACCCCCAGGGATATTTTAGGGTTCTGTAAGATCCTCAGGCCTGTGGCCACATAACATACTACTGCCAGCTGCCCTGACAAAATAAGGGATACTGTCTTTCTCTGATGACAGGAGTCATCCTAGCCTGGTGAGTAAGCAAGAGGTAGAATATGCAGGTAAACAAGACTTACAGGCTACAGTTAAGCCATAGAGAGGACCCAGAAGGGAGCAGGTCTGGGCAGTTTAAATGTGGCAGCCTCTTGCCCTACCTCTGCCTTATTCCTGCCCAGCAGCAGCAGTAATGTGGTACAGACTGAGGACAGAGCAATGGAACCACAGCCCGAGGACCACAGGACAGGGATGTTGGGCAAGTTCTGAAGTCCCAAGGCGTTTGTTTGTCTGGTTCCATGGATACCAAGTCCTGGGCTTTTTCTCAGGTTCTTCTTTACCCTACGCAACCAGTGCTGCTCTCAGAGCCAAGCAGGCGCTTCTTAGGCCACCCTGCAGACACACATCCATTTCTGGAGATGCTAGTTGGTAGATTCCAGACGCCAAGATCTGTGTGTACCAAAGCAGCTGTGTTCCCATGTGCGGTGCCCCTCCCTGCAGTACACAGTACCCTGCCCCAGGAACAAGTCCTGCCTGGGCCAAGGGCCTCTGTGCTTCCCAGGTTCCTTCCTTAACCAGCCTCTTACACAGGGGTTCTAAGCTAACTTTTTTCTAATTCCCACTTTGCCTAAGCTGCTAATATAAGAATATCTAAGCTGTTAATACCCAACTGCAAAAAATTTGGAGGATTACATGAGTTAAGGTATAGAAAGCAACTCGTATATGGCACAGGCTCAGTAATGACCAGACTGGGTTTTCATTCTTCCTCAGCCATGCCCAGGCTGGAGGACCCAGCTAAGCAACTACTTCTGGATCCCCTCACTTCCAGTATCCGCCCTCCCACCCCTGTCCTCTGTGGCAGCCCCTTCCTCCCTCTTCTTCAGCTGTTGAGGAAAGCTCCAAAGCCCCATCTGGTAATCTGAACTAAAGAAGAGGGGTCTTACAGTACACTGCTGGACACAAACTTCCTTGAGGGAAGGGGCTTAGAGCTAAGTAGGCATAACTCCCTCCAACAGGTGGGCAATTTGAAGAGATACAGGCAAATACACATACATACTCATGCACACACACACATACACACTCAGGCACCATTGCATGTGCACAAACGCATGTCCCCACAGGCATGGCACACTTCTCAAGCTCTAACTCCAGGTTCCGACCTTGAGCTTAGGCAGTCGTTTAATGGTCTTGAGGGGTCGCAGGACACGCAGCACTCTCAGAGACTTGATGGTGTTGATGTCTTTCCCTTTGGATCCTCTAGAAGAGAGAAGCTGCTGATATCGCCAGGCAGGATGCATGGGTGTGCCCAGCATCCTAGGCACAAGGTACAGGAGGTCTGGCTCACGCTGCCCTGTGCATTTTATTTCAGGCTACAGGGTAGAGAACCCAGTGCAGAAAAGTCTCCTCCTAGGGCTTCCTGGGCTGGACCTAATCTGAGGACAGTGGTAAGGGTAGGACCAGGGTCAGGCCAGGACCAGGGCAGCCACCTGGTACATAAGGACAACTGAGTTCCCAAATGTAAAAAGACCACACTACACTGCCAGACCTGGTAGTTATTCCCATCTCTCCCTGGAGCTCCAAAACCAGCTTCCAACAACAAAGAAGAATGAGGGGGCCAGCAAAGTCTATATCCCTGGGATGCAGGAAAGACTTCTTCAGGAAGTAGAAGAAGAGCTGCTGTCCAACTTTTCATTTAAGGCATTTGCCTGAATTCTACCCTACAGAGCTGCCTGTCCTCAGGTACTCAGCACCCTACAGGTAACATAAAACTGGCTGACATGAAGAGGAGAAGGTAAGAGACAAAGACACACAAAGACAAAGACAATGACACAGGCAGGAGTGAGTAGGTGGAGGGAAATAGCCCCAGAGAAGCAAAGACATACCAAGATGGTCAAGAAAGCAGCAGATCCCAGGTGTCATGGCTCAAGCCTATAATCCTAGCTACTTGGGAGGCAGAGATTGGGGGATCAATCTCTGAAGCCAGAGGCCTCTGATTTGCCTGAGGCCAGACCAGGCAAAAAGGAAGTGGCATACTCCATCTTTTCACAATTAGGCACAATAGTGCACTCCTGTCAACCCCAGCAACCCAGAGAAACACAGGTAGGAGAATGATACCCCAGGCCATCCAGGCATAAAATGACTATACCTCACAAATAACCAGTGAATACAAAAAGGAACTGGAGACACGGCTCAACTGGTAAAGCACCTGCCTACCAATGAGGGCCAGATTTCAAGCCCTACTGCTGAAGTAAGGAGGAAACAAACAGGAAAATTCATGTGAAGGTGGGAGACAGGAAATCAGGTAAAGAAAATTCAGGTACCAGTTGGGCTGGGATGTAGCTCAGTGGCAAAGCAACATCCTGGGTTCGATCCCCAGTACCAAAAAAGAAAAAACAAAAAAAAAATACAGTTAAAGAAAATTCAGGTACCAGAGCAAGCTTAGAAGTCCAGGATGAGAGGCCTCCACTTATCAGTCAAGAGCCCAGAAATTAGCAGATTCCAACACTGCTGTCAGTCAACACCTGTCAGTCAGGGGCCCAGGAATTTGCAGTAGAAATTAGCTATTGGCCCCAGTTAAAGCCAACAGTGCAAGGAGGCCTCCTGTTGAGGAGGCCATTCATTGACTCGGTGAGACTCAAGACTAGTGAGTGGCACTCACTCATACAGGGAATCTTACCCCTGCCTTTCCAGAGGTCACTTTCTGCCCACATCTCTGGGCCCGACCTGTATGTGGAGTTGTCATATATCTGATGGCCTCCTTTGGACTCTAGCAAAGCTTTAGGCTCAGCAGGGAGCAACAGCTCAGGCTTTTCAGGAGAAGTTGAACCCCAACCCTTCCGTCTCCCCAACAACATGTTGTAGAATCAGATCACACTGTCTCAGAGCTGGGAATAGTAGCAATGCCTGTGAGCTAGCACTCAGGAGGCAAAAGTTCAGTAGAACTTCAAAAAACAAGACAAGGAAGTGGTGCCGTGGCTCAAGTGGTAGAGCACTAGCCTTGAGCTGAAGAGCTGAGGGACAGCGCCCAGGCCCAGAGTTCAAGTCCCATGACCAACAAAACAAAAACAACAACAAAAAAAAACCCCACAACAATGAAGACTGCCCTTGAAACACTGAGCTTGCTCTGCCCATAGTTCTCCACCAGTACCAAGAAAAGGGCTAGGTACTGGCAAAGCGGGGGAAGGGCTTGGGAGAGGTCTCCCAAAGGCTTCGTCCTCTCCCTTTGCTCCTTGGCTTGCTTGCTCCGTACCACACGACTGGATGGCACCGTTCTCATCCTCCTACCTGGGGCCTCTGTCAAACCAGTTACAGTCCTGTATAACACTCTGGCTAAGTTCTTACCTCCTTCATCACAGAAAGAAGGTCTATTAAGACACCCAGAGGAGTGGCAGGGCCTGAGAAAAAGCCTCCTTTCCAGAAAGGAGCCACGTAGAAAAGCACCTCAGTATGTCCTGCATCCTAGGCCATGATCCGGTCCCACCCAGAATCCTTACTGCCCCCACTGCAAGCTGGTATCTCAGCCGGCAGCACTCACCTAAGACAACCTGCTCACTAAAAGCCTCTTCACCAAGAGCTGACCAAGCCCAGCCCCAGCCCCCAACCCCTAATCATGTCCGGAACAGTGGCTGGGGATGGCTAGGGAACATGCAGCCCAGATGGGGTGGAGGTGGATGAGCAGGCATGAAGCCATGATGACCAGCCAGAGGCCATGGGTGTGCCATGATGTCAGGCAGTATGAGAGGAAGGGAAGGCATTACCCCATGAAGCTCCTACCGAGAGTCCAGCAACAGGAAGACAAAGAGAACAGAGTCAGTGCCATGGGAGGGCAGGGAAGGCATGTCTATGAGCAAGTCCCCCCAGGGGCCAAAAAACAATAAAAGCTTCCCTTCAGTATCTGGCCTCCACCAAGGTTTTGCTCCTCTCCAAATCACACTCACAACTTCCTATATTGCTCCATCTGTGGCTCCACCTGAGCCCCACATCCTCCATGCAGGTTCTAGGGGACCCCATTCTAGTCCCAGGCACCACCAGGCTGAGCATCTCCTGGTCAGGAGTCAGAGGGAATGGTTTCATAACTCAGTAAGGGAAAACCTTCCACCAGCTCTGGCTGGGACAGAAAGCACCAGAGGCTTCCCACTCAGGTATTTGTCTCAGAGAAGGAAACTGCCTCAAGAAGGACCCCATGAGGGAGATGCCAAATACCCACAGGCCTAGCCACCAAGTTTCAGACCAAAGGCAGTGTTCTAGGACAGATGGGCCTTGAGTCTTCCCATCCCATAGCCCAGGCCGAGACAGGCAGGACAGTCGTGTCTGGGAGGCCAAATACGAGGAGGCCAGCCAGGGAGGCCAACGTGGGTCATCTGCCTCCCTCCCTCACATCATTCTGGGGGATGTGCTCACTGGATGCAAAGAAGAAGTGGCTACTTACGAGAAGGCAAATGCCACCAAGGCCCCACTGACCACAATGAAGTCGAGAATGTTCCACAGGTCCCGGAAGTAGGCTCCAGGGTGAAGCAGCAGCCCCAAGTCAATCATCTGCAGGGGAGAAGTGGGTGTCCGAGTACATACAGAAAAGAGGCAGAACTAGGCCTAACTATAGCAGAGCATGTGGCTCTGGTCACTCTCTGAACAAGATTCAGTGTGTTGGCTGTGCACACCTGAACCCGTCACCCCAGTGACGCGCAGAAGCACCTTCCTCATGGAAGATAAGATCCAGGTCACGGAGTCAACTGCCCTTAGTGAGGCCCTAAGCCAGATATCCTTGCCAGGTGCATAACTGACTAGCTGAGTTCTGGCTGGCTCCTACCTTCCCTGGAGCCCAACTACAACAAGAAATCCCTGTCCCTCCCTGTTCCTCCATTGCTAGCAACAGATACATTGCTCCTAGAGAGTTTACACCGCTCAGTCCCTGAAGGAGCAGGGCAGGGTAGGGCAGCAGAATAGCTTGCTGACAATTCTTAGCCATTTTTGTACATAGCCTACCTCTCCTACTCCTGGCACTGTTATTTTGGGTAAGTACCGTAACAACGCTCAGCCTCAGTCTCTGCTATCACCCCTCTATCACAGACTGACCATATATGGGCAGCAGTGGGATCATGCTCACGTGCTCCTGAAAGTGCTCCCTGAGGAGACTGCATGCATGTAGGCACTGAGTATACTGATGTATGTGCACAAATATGGGCAACCAGTGGCACTGAACATGCACCTGTGAAAACATATGAAGGCCAAACCTGACAGACATGAATAAAGAGCACCTTGTAAAGAAGGAAAAACAAAGTTACAATAACATGGTGGATTGTCATTCTGCCATTAGAGGAACCCTGGATCTGCTTAAATTTAGTCCTCAGGCTGGGCACAGGTGGCTCATGCCTGTAATCCTAGCTGCTCGGTAGGCTGAGATCTGAGGATTGCAGTTCAAAGCCAACCTGGGCAGAAAAGTCCCCATGGGAATCTTATCTCCAATTAACCACCCAAAAACCAGAAGTGGTGCTGTGGCTCAAAGAGGTAGAATGCTAGCCTTGAGCAAAAGAGCTCAGGGACAGCACCCAGGCCCTGAGTTCAAGCCCCACAACCAGCAACAGCAACAACAAAATTTAGTCAACAACAACAAAATTTAGTCCTCAGCAACCAAAAGCCTTCTAGCCATCCCTCTCCAAAGTCTCCCGGTGCTCTGTTCAATGTCGTGTCCATGTGCAGGCAAACCTGGAAGAGGGGCTCAGCCCACACAGGCATCTTAAACAAAGCCTATAGCAACCATGCTTGGAAGCGAGGTACGGTGAGATCATGCACCCATCAAGTGTCAATGCTCCAAAGCACTGTGGGGCTAGAGGCCCTTCATGACCAGGAGGGCCTCTTGCTCCTGGAATACTTCCCATACACACAGATGGCCCCCGTATCATCACTCACATGCTTCCACAGGGGCTATGGGAGCCATTATATCTTACCTTTATTACCATCTCAAAGGTAAAGACGCCTGTGAAGATGTAATCCATATATTTCAGAGCCTAGAATCAAAAGGAGAGTTGCTTACAAAGGCTGGGAAGAAAAGCTAGAACCAGTACCACAACAGGGGTTCTCTGTTTCCCCCAACACTCTAGGAGTAGACAATCATCAGGCAAAAGCTAGTTGGCAACAATCTGGGGGAGGCTGAAATGAACACCATCTGGCAAGACCCCTCTCTAGGGCAGCCTCAACTGACTCTGGCACCTCAGTAAAAGGGGGACTCCAGCAGGTGGCTTCTCCAGGCTTGGGTTCTATACCCACAGAGGGAGAGGATGATGGTGAAGAGACAGGGTCCAGTACCATCCAGCACCTTGGGCCCTGGGAACTCACACAGTGGCAACCCCTCAACCTGGCAGCAGGCCTGACACCACTCACATTGTTCCTGAAAGAGTCTGTCCGTACTGGATCCTCAGCGGCTAGGGCAATACTGCTCAAGGCAATGACCACAAGAATGACCATCTCAAAGTACCGCATGGTAACAATGTAATGGCAGAACCGACGGAGCCTGTGGAGATAAGACACAGGTGACCACAGGGCCCAGAGACACAAGACTCTCCTGTAGGAAGGGCTTCTCCCAGCTTCTACCAAGGAATGTATGCCACCAGAGTGGAGCTTTTCCCAGTGTCTTTGTGGTCTAGGGACAGAGACCAGGTGACTGATAGTGTCTGATGCTCCTGTGAGAGCTACAGGCCACAGCTTAACAAGCACAGCTCCCAGGCCTTACAAGGCTGGCCCTCTTCATGTCAATAACATTTTGCTAGAGCATAACTCCCTCCACTTGTTTCCCAACTGTCTGTAGCCCCAGAACCAACACCCTTGACAGAACAGGTGTGCAGCAGGTGGGTGGAGGGAAGAATTTTACCACAGCACCCTTGCAGACTGTAGACCTCCTTTGACTTAGAGTACATGTCCAAGTCTGTGCTGGGTGCATGCTTGTAACACTTTCAGGGCTATATGTGAGCATACCATCATCCACTTGCCTCCTGCTTCAGTCACTTGCTGACCTTTGCTCAGCTGTTCAACATTATTGAGCATCTACTGGGTATAGCAATGAGTAAGAAAGGCAGGTACCTGGCCTCATGAAGCTCCACTCTAGGGAGCAAAGTACCAGCAAGCAGTGCAGAGATAAGGGAGCAGGAAACTAGCAGCTGCTGATACAAGAGGCAACATGGCAGCAAGCGGGGGTCAGGAGGGTAAAGTAGGGTAGTGGATAAGAAGCAGCCACCACAGACTGGCTAGTGAGGCAGAAAGCCCCACAAAACATCACAAGTGCTGTAATTCCCTCTGCAGGCAGCCACTCCCTTGCCACAAGCTCCTCCGCATTCCCAAGAATGTCTACCCTACACAGTCTGCCATTTCCAGCAACTAACCCACTCCGTTCCTCCCTGAAGGGACCCCACTCCTCTCTTCATCACCACCCTACATAAGCTCAGAGAGCCACCAGCTGGACTTCATCCCTGGTCACTTCCTAGCCTTTAGTTCTAATGGCCATCACACAACTCAGCTTGTACCTAGGTTTCTACTCCTTGGCTATACTCCCAGACTCAGACTTCCAGTTCACCTGGCCATGAGACACCCCAGCTGCCCTGGCTCTGCAGGATTGGTCAGCTAGCTAGATCTCATAGCCCAGACAGACCTCTAAGGGCACTGCTGGTCTCAGTGACACCCTGTCTATCACTGGCCAGGAGATGACAACATGTCATCACTGACATTCCTTCCCCTTCCATGTAGAACTTAATATCAAATTATACAGATTCTGCCTCTAAAATTTCTCCTCAAATATTTCATTTACAAGCCTCAATTCTAAATACCCTGGTCAAACCACCCCCTTTACTTCCTGGCCACCTACTAAATGATCTCCTGTTCCAACTCTCCTACTAACACGTCCTACTGGAGTACAGTTAGATGTGAACCTACCTGTGCAGCCCTCATACTTTGGGGGCCTCTTTGGTGACCATCCAGGTCTTCCCCAGGACAACACACTCCCTGTACTACCTGTCCATCCTGCTGTCTTCTAGTCCTGGACCACTGTAACACCCTTCTCTAAAACAGTACCCATTCTTCCTTTTTAACTCTTACTCATCCTTCATGGTTCCAACAAAGACATCACTTCCTCTATGAAACTCCCCTGGCCTTCTCCAACCTGTCTCACAACACCAGAGCCTCCCTACTTTGCCATCCCCATGCTTTTCTTGACTGTTACCTGTTCACCTTCCCACTACATTGTCAGTCCAACAGGGCAGAGAGTCCATCTGTCCCTGTTCCCATTTATTTTAACCCTTGCACAACAGATTGAGTTCCCGATATATGTGTGTCAAATGACAGAATGGCGGGAAGGGGAGAGAATGTGTGAGGAGGGCTGGGTGGAGAGAGTGGGACAATAAAGGTATAAAGAACAGCTGGCCAGGTCAGCAATGGTCACTCCTACACTGCTATCCTTTGACCTGTTCAGCACCCGCCTGGCTCTGTCCAGGCTGGCTTTTGCGGGATTCTACCTTTACCTGGAGCACTCTTCCTCCCTTCAAGTTTTATTCCAGTCTCACCTCTAAGGACCCCAATTAACCTTTCCATCTAGTTTTAATCTCCATCTCTTACTTTGTTTTTTCCTGGCACTCATTCCTGACTTGTTTATTTTCACACATTTTCTTTCATTCATTCTTTTCTTTTCTTTTTGGTGGTTGTATAGGAATTTGAATTCAGAGTTTTAACTTGCTTGACAGGAGGTCTAGCACTAAGACATGCCTCCGGCCTTTCTTTGCCCTGGTTATTTTGAGGTGGTCTCATTTGTTGCCCAGGTATGCACCTGGACTGCGGTCCCCCTGTATTAGGCTTCCCAACATAAGTAGGGTGACAGGCACTTCATCACACTCAGTTCTTTCTATTGAGACTGAGTCTTGTAAATTCTTCTGTCCGGGCTGGGCTGATCTCAGTCTTCTGCCATAGCTGGGATGGCAGGTGAAAAGCACTATACCCAGCTCTTGGCTGAGAAAGGAGTCTCACAAACTTTTTGCCCAGGCTGGCTTTGAACCATCATTTCAGCCCCCCAATCCCCACTCCACGTAGCTAGGATTGTAGGCACCCACTGATTACAGCTTCTCCCTTGGCCCTTCCTCTGCTCTCTTGGCCTCCCCTGACCCCCTCACCCAAACCTTCACTGTGCCTGACGGAGTCTCACACTTTTACACGAGTTAGACTATGTAAATCCTTCTACCTCAATTCTCTTACTCTACCTCCTGAAAGCTAGCTGTGGTTACAGGCATGAGCCACTGCACATGGCTTGCAAACCATCGCCTTGTCTGTTGTCTGTCTCTCTCACCAGCCCATCTGCTTCAAGACAGATGTTCCTGACCTAGTTATTACTGCCTGTGTCAAGCCCCTAGAATGCTGCTTGCATGTGAGTGTTGGCTGGATTAATGAGAACCAGACTTATGAGTAGATGGTGAATCGTAACAAATACACATGAAAGGGGACACACAACAGAAAAATGGCACACACAACAAACATGCATGCATGTGTGTGTGATGGGAATGAAGGAAGGATGGATAGAAGGAGGGAGGTGTTATGTGTGATAGGCACTCATGGAGTCCATGTGTGCAGCAGTGAACACACTACAGGAGAGGGAGTGAGGCTCTGGAGCTGACCACCTTGAGTCCAAGCCCAGCTCTAGCACCAAGACATCTTGGCTGCATGTCTGTCCACAAGGCCCTGGGTCCTTGTCTGTAAAGTGAAATGGCCTCATGGGACTTCTGTGGTCACTGGGTTCTAAGTCAGGGGGTAGAACTGGTCCCTGTACATCGGCTACTGTGTTCATGTGGGCCACAGGAAGTAGATGAGAAAGACAACCACACATGTGGGTAGTGAGGAGACTCACAGGTTGGTAGGGCTCAAACAGAACATGGAGCTGTATGGGACGATGGGCCGGGGGCCACTCCTTGGCATGTCGTCAGCTTCTGCCTCCTTCTTCCCCTCTGCTTGGCTTTCCAGGTCCATGTTACCACCTATAAGGATACAGGGCCTCCAAGTTAGGAGTGTGTGCCCATAAAGCACACATCACATGGGTCTCTCCCAGCTCCAGAACCAAAGGTAAGTGAAGAAAGCCATCCTGTGCCCGCCCAAGGAAGAACACGTGGCTTAGAATACAGCTTCATCAGGCAGAGCATGGCGTGGCATGTGGAGGGGGAGTATCAGCACTGCAGTTAAGACCCGGATGGAGGGCTGTCTTCTATGGAGACCTGAGCAGGACCTCTCCACCTTCCACACTGCTGGGGTTGCAGTGGGAGAGGCACTCAGCTGGGCACTATCCTTGGTATGGAAGCCCATGAATCCTACATCTTGACAATCCAGAGCCTAGTGAGTTCTTCCTCTAAGGGATCTCTGAGCAGCAAAAAAAAAAAGAAAGAAACAGACAGCCTAGGGCACATAGATCCACAGGTGTTCCCTGAACCCCATCATTTAGCTTGCTCTGACCTGGGATTTCTTTTGAAGACCCCAAAGAAAAGGCTTGATATGCCAGGGAGTCCAAAAAGATACTGAACGATACCTTGCCCACCACCCTGCTCACAGTCCTGTCTCCCTAGGTTCACGCTCAGCACCCACTGATTACAGCGTCTCCCTTGGCCCTTCCTCTGCTCGCTCGACCTCCCCTGACCCCCAGCATTCTTCACCCAAATCAAATTCTCCTGGTAAAAATGGCCTTAAGCTTTGTCCCCTCTTCTCTCAGCAATTCTTCATTTTTAACTATGTTAATGTATATTGCAGTCACCATCAGCAATATAATTCCTGATATCTGAGGTACAAGGCATTGTTTATCATTTGAACTATCTCATGTTTATACCTCTTAAAATAATAAGGGTCAGGCATGGTGGCACACATGCTTGTTCTGTCAAAGCCTAGAGATTAAAGAGTTGCCATTCAAGGCCAATCCACACAAAAAGTAATCAAGATCCGATCTCAACCAATATGCAGGTATGGTGGTACATATCTGTGGTCTCAGCTACACAGGAAGCCACAGGTAGAAGGGTTGAGGTCTGAGGTTGGCGCCAAGGCAAAGCATGAGACCCTATCTCAAAAAAATCAAGACGAAAGAGCTCAGCATGACTCACATTGTAGAGCACATTTCTAGCAAGCACATTTAGGGTTAAACCCCAGTACCACCACTATAAAAAAAAAAAGAAGGAAAAAAAGATGTTGAAGCCTGGGTAGAACTTCTAAAATACTACAACAAAGTCAAAGAAAGTGACCAAAGCAGACTAAGAAAAAACTTTAAAGGATCAAGATGAAATTTACTACAGACTAAGTAAATTCATTGTTGAAAGCAGGTTATAAAAAAGGAGAGGAGGAGGAAAAAGAAGAAGGAAGAGGAGTAGAGGAGAGGGAGGAGGTAGAGAAGGAAGAGGAAAGGGAGGAAGATGAAGAGAAGTAGAAGAAGAGAAGGAGGAGGAGAAAAGGAGGAGGGGGAGGAGGAGAGGAGAAGATGAGCAGGACGAGGAGGAAAAGAAAGAGAGGAGGAGGAGGAGAAGGAGAGGAGAGGAAATGGAGAGGAGGAAGAAGAGGAAGAGAATGAGAAGGAGGAGAGTTAAAAAAAGAGGAAGGAGAGGAAGAGGAGGAAGAAGAGTAGAGGAGGAAGGGGAGGAAGAGGCAACTACTTCGTAATAGCAAAATCAAACCACTGAAGTAGAAGACAATCAGGCAAATTTATTAATACTAAAAGACAGGCATGAAAAATAATTGACTTATACTACTAATGACTGCAAATATTGAAATTTTTAGATGAGAAATAAAAATATGTAAACATTTTTATAAACAGCTTTTAAAATGAGCAAGCAATAAAAGTCTATAAAACTAACCCAATACTACTAACCAATGCTGCTCCTGAACCCCACTGTGGCAGCTGAAGAAAAGCATATTACTTGCCCCTGTCTGAAGATGCTGAGATGGGAAGGCACAGACAGAACTCAAGGGCAGCTGTCCCTGGGTGGGAAGAAGCAAGGACCTCACATCAACCCAGGCATCCCTGAGACCACTTGAATTTGTCATACTCAGAAAGCACCACTTTCACTGGGACAGGGTGAAAAGGACTGGGGCTTGAGCATGAGTCCTGAGGGAGAAACGCCTGTGGAGAACCACTCCACGAGCACAGCACAAACGGTTAGGTTACTCTCATGCAGGAGGAGGCTGGTCTCGCCTGGATGTGAATTCCTTCCCTTCCAGCACCTCATAGGAGGAGTCTGGTTAAGCCCTGGTGTTTAAGGCTACAAAGGTTTAATTCATTTCCATACTGGGTGTGACAATGCCAGCGCAGATTTCACGTTGCTCTATTTTTATTAGAGTTGTTCCTGGTTTTGGTCATGTTAGGTTGCAGAGTTATATAAGCACTACCTACTTTTCTTCAGAACTGCTATTTCAGTGGTGACATTTTCAGGAATGCATAAGCCATGTTATGGTGGAATGGCTTCCTTCAGGAAGAGCAAAACCACTCAAAGAGAAGCATATGAAGCAGGAATGAAAGGCAGGTACCAATAATGTACAAAACATAAACAACAAACACAGCCAAAATAATAATCATGTTTTATGGGACTTTTTAGGACTAAACTGAACAACAGTAATACAACTAAAGTACTGCTCTGAGGTCTTTATATTGCTAAATGGGAGGTTAATATAAATAAGTGTAGAATTTGTTTTCCATGCATGGTAAACTTACAAAAGTAACAACTAAACATAAGCAAAATTGGTAACTTTTGAATAGAGCTCTGAGAAAATGTGATATGTAAGCAAATAAACAAAACAATTATTCAAGATTAAAAGGGAAAGGATGGAGGAAAAAATAGAAAATGGAACAAATGTCACAATCCTAGATTAAGCAAATCTCAGTAAATTTTTAAGGTGTCTGTGTAGCAGTGGCTCACACCTGTAATCCTAGCTACTCAGGAGGCTGAAATCTGAGGATCATGGTTCAAAGCCTATCCAGGGGAAAAGATTCTTATCTCAAATTAACCACCAAAAAGCCAGAAGTGGAGGTGTGGGTCAAGTGGTACAGAAATAACCTCAAGTGCGCGCACGCACACGCACAAAGTGCCAATGGCCAGAGATAGTTTCTCACCCACTGAATCTAGGTCAGCCTCCAGTGAAGGAGACTAGAGTTCTTCTCTGTTAAAGGACTTTCAGGAACAACTGGAAGGGAAAGAGAAAGCAGGACAGGGATGTGAAGAAGCCAAACAGGGGTACAATTTTAGATGAAGTCCTATAAAAGGCAGGGTTAGTTCCTTGAGGAGCATTCTGGGTTCTCAACTAACTTTCAGAATCTTCCTGATCTATAGCCGCAGGCCTGGGCCCTCTTGTGCCTGTACTATCCCTTCACTGGCTACAGCTGTCTGGGAGGTTAGACCCCATGGACTCTTGTAATTCCAGCAGTTCAAGGCAGTCCTCCAAATCGAATGCCATTGGAGACCAAGATGCACAGGAGTAAGGGGAAATCTACAGATCTAATAACAATGTCCATTTCTGGAACCAATTCCAGGTCTTCAGTGAGAAATCTTAAAAAATGGTCCTGAGAACATGTCCCCTGGGTCCCCTGACTCCCAGGACTGAGGCTGGGACTTACCATCTTAGGGGCACTTCCTCCAGGAACCCAGAGAACAAGAGGTACTCACAGTGGCCTGCAATCAAGTCATTGTCCCCTAGAGTTAAAGAGGCTCAGGAAAAGCCCACCACAGCCATGAGATCATCAAACCCTGTTGCTTCCAGCCTGAGGACAGAGATCCCAAGGTCTTAGCTATAGCCCCAATTGCAGAAACCCTGGGAGGGGACACAGAGTATCCCCTCCCCCCCCGCGGCCCTCCTCCACCCCGCCCCACCCCCCACAGAAATCTAAACAGGACCACTGACAGAGAACTGGGCAAACTCAGCTTCACAGAATCAGGAGTGCAGGTGGAGTGCAGGCTGAATTGGGAATTCCCACTAAACTAAGACAAAAGCCTGAGGGTATTGAATGCAGGATGCACTTGAGGAATTAGACCTTAAAAACCACAGGGCACAAAGGACACAAGCTGATAAGACCTAAGCTGGCATCAGGCTGCCAGGCCTGTCCTTGGGGCTCCCCTGCAGAGCCCATAAAAGCTGTAATCAGTAGCATGCCCTACTTAATCTCTAAATCCCTCCCTCCACTTAAAGGAAGTTAGGTGGAGAAAAACCTAACATCACATCACAGTTGCTGTACACAAGTTTACCAGTCTTTGACCGTGGATGGCTTTAACTGTATTAAATGTTGCACTTGTTTAACTCTGGTTTTTCCCAGCTGCAAATCAGAAAAAAAAAAAAAAAAAAGGTGATTTACCATCAATTTCCCCAATCAACACTCTCCAATTGATTCTCGTTTCCTACCTCCTCCCCTGCTTTTTTGTTTGCTTTTCTTTCTTCTCTCTTTTTCCTTTCTTAAACTGAAACCATCTTACTGAACCATTTTCACTACCACTTTCTCTTTTTTTTTCATGAAACATTTTTTTTTATTCATCCTAATTTTGGCTTTAATCCTTATCTCCTATTTCCATTCTTGGAAGTCAAGACTTTTCTTAAAAAACAAAAATGGTTAAAACTCGTGATCATCTGGAATCATAATAAACCTTTCTTCTCTTCAAAGATGGAGGACACACATTTTTACTTTTATGTCGCATTTTCAAATATGCATGCCCATATATATGTATCTGTATGTATATACACACACACACACACATACACATATAAACTAAACTAACTTTTCATCGTTAGAGGTCACTGGCACTGTCTGGTCGACTGACATGCTGCCCTACATACAGTAATTCTATACATTTTCATATATTAAAAAGTGGGGGGGGGGCTGGGAAGGTGGCCTAGTGGTAGAGCGCTTGCCTAGCATGCATGAAGCCCTGGGTTCGATTCCTTAGTACCACATAAACAGAAAAGGCCGGAAGTGGTGCTGTGGCTCAAGTGGTAGAGTGCTAGCCTTGAGCAAAAGAAGCTCAGG